TCGCCGGCGCCTGGGATCGAACCCAGGACCACAGGATCACAAGTCCTGTGGTAGGACCTTACTAGTAGGAGACTCTTTCTCAGCTTTTAAGGTGTTTTATATTGACGCACAGATTTTTGAGATTCCATTGTACGGGTCTGACTACATGCCTATGTGTAAAAACATATATAGAACCATGCCTATTTGACAGACATTACATGCTTTTGACAGAAATAAATATTTAATCATTTCTATGTATAATTATTGACGTGTTTCTTAATTGTCAATAATATTTGATTATAAAAACTTAATAATAATACCAGTATATATTTATTACATATTAACACTTTAGTACTGCATTCCCAGTATGCTAAAATGTGTCATCCATATTTCGACAGTAAATATTCCAATGATATCTCGAGATGATTTCGGGGCTTAACGTCCCCGCGGCCCGGTCCTCAACCAGGCCTCCTTTTTGTTACACACACCCCCAGGAAGCAGCCCGTAGCAGCTGTCTAACTCCCAGGCACCTATTTACTGCTAGGTTAACAGGGGGCATCAGGGTGAAAGAAACTCTGCCCATTTGTTTCTGCCTCCGCCGGGGATCGAACCTGGAACCTCAGGACTATGAACACCAAGCGCTGTCCACTCAGCCGTCAGACCCCTAAAATGTTGCAATGTCTTATACAATCTCGGAATTTCAGTTAATTACTCTGCCAATATATATTTTCTCTGCTTTGAAAATTATCTAACAAATTTATATGAATGTCATGTTCGTTTTCTTTTTTTACAGCTATACAGTATAGACTTTCGCGTGTACTTCTCTAAATCAAATACAAATAAAGTGTTTAAAAAATAAATATGGCGTGTAAAAAATGCTTATAAACATTCATATAATATTTTGTGCTATGATGTATAATCTATTATCCTTACACTTTCTTGTTGGCATCTAGAACATTTATTTGCGAACATTTTGACACCAAAGGAATAGCCATCATCCCCCCCCCCACCTCCTAAGAAACTTAAGAGCAAAAAGAGAACAAACATTTTAGGCATTGTTGAGCAGGACCTTGAGAGGACAGACCTTCAGAGGTCCCTATTGTTTACAGTTGGGAACACGTTCAATGAGCGAACCGCTAAAGTGTTAAAATACATTTTGAATACTGTACTATTTTCCAAAACATTTAATGTGAGTGAATTCAATTACTAATTGAATAAATAAATTGTATAATGCAGTGTATTATATTCGCTTCAGAGGCAGCCCATTCATCGGTGTCCCTGATCTTAATAAGTGGAACTCACTTTCATTCACACCATCTTAACTAGCTTTTTCTCTAAGTTATGTCATAATAAGCGGCACTCACTCTGTCACACCCAAAACCCAGAACATGTGCATAAAAACATCCGCTATAAATGAGTAAAGTTCTATAAATGAGAAAGAATTATGGGTCACACATATCTTAGCCTTGTCTATGTTGCATACTAAAACTGCAACAATTTATCATCATTTTACAAAATTGACTTTGCAATGAGATCATTATCAACAATAAAGTATAAACAATTCTGTCTCTATAAAGGGATTCGACCCATTCACTTCAAGTGTGTATACCAACAGGATCTTTAGCAATGGTATGGAGGTACTTAATCCTGAAATTCACGATTAAAATATAAATATCTTTTCCATTACAAGAGCCAATGCTTTGATGATAATTATGTAATAGACCTAATAATATACTGAACAACTATAATCAAACGAAATCCAGCTTTCCCATTACATATATTTGCAGTTTAAAGTGAAGCTCATGAACGCAAAGTTAACTGAAAGCCCTCAAATGTGAGTATACGAAGTATTAGACATTCTCGTCACTTTACGAAGCCTCGGGGAGAGCAACTGCCCAAGTTGGGACGCAGAAGTGTTGTACCACTTCACAAATTAGCTGGACATCCTCAATCCAAGAGGTTGACATTCAAAAATCATTCTGTATAGTAATTTGGCAATCTTTATATATACCTTCAGTGTGTGTTAAGAGAGACAAAGGCAGCACACCGCAGAAGTGAAAGGGTTAAACCCACAATTAGCATTCTATTTATCGGCCCTTTCTTAATTTTTCTGGCAATATACTTTATAATCTCTAACTCAATCAAATTGGACCAGAACAAAGATCAATACTGAACTAATGTATTACCCAGAGCAACCTGGCTTGTATATATTCAGAGTAAAACCTCATTTATCACCAACTCACAAGAAATGCAGTGCTATATTGTTAAGGTAATGACATTACTTACTTCTCTTATGATAATATTCAATAACAGTTAATCACATAACATGCAAGACACATTTCCTCAGAAAGAACTGCGGCAATAAGATACATACAATACACAAGTTTAAATTAATGATAGATACAGGGAGACTGCAGTGTCCTAAATTCTACTGGATTTATTACCCCATGCTTTATTTCTAACTTGATACAATGAATCAGGGGCCAGATTCACGATGCAGTTACGCAAGCACTTACGAACGTGTACATCTTTCCTCAATCTTTGACGGCATTTGTTATATTTATTAACACTTTCTGCTGATGAGGACTCCTCCCGGCGTCCTGTTTCGCCTACCCGCTTCCGCATGGTGGACATAAATTTATGTCCTCTTTTAAAATATTTGTATAAAATTCAATTTTAATCCAATTTACTTTGGGTTTGTTTCAAACTGCGCACCATGAGGCTCTCTTTCTCACCACTAGGCTGCATGGTACGATAAGTTCATGAAAGGTGTGGACCACTTCGATCAAATGGTATTACCAAGTGGCACGAGTGTCCCAAACGGGTTGCAGGTGGGTGAATTTAGCCGTTTATACTGGTAATGCTTCCCCCATATCATGTATTATATGCATATGTCAGTTTAGGGAATTTTATTCCGATCAATGTACAACCAAAAATAACTGTGTGCAACAAGTATAAACTTGACAAACATAACAAAAGTAAAAACATTTCGTGTGTGTTTGACGCTCACTGATATGTTCCAGCGTTGTTTTATATTTGGCGCTATTCTATCTTACGCTCTGTTGATCTTTTTTACCTACGGGCTCATAGAACATTCTATTGCGAACACATTGACACAAAAATGAATGACGTACATAGAAAAATAATGTCAGGAGAGTGAAATAAGTATAAACTTTCAAAGCGCCGTATCCCACATGTGTCGTCCCGTCACCGATACCGGGTAACAATTTCACCACTTCCCACACTCTTGCGGGCGGGCCGCAATCATTATTCTACGTTTATATTCATATCACCGTGTTGGGAATTTCATTGCGAGTCCATTGATACCAAAATTAACGCTGTAGGACAAGTGTGGAGGTGAAAACAATCCCAAGAGTAAAAACATTTTGTTGCTGTTGGGCGCTCACGGCGAGTCATCTTCGTAGATATTTATTTGGTGCTGGTATCCCTATACGTTTCGTGACTTTTTACTCATGCTCTTCTAGAGAATTTTATTGCGAACACGTTGGTACCAAAATGAAATACGTAGCTCGAGAACTAAGGTCAGGAGAGTAAAAAGAGTATATACATTTTTAGTTTTTACGCTTACGCGGCAAAAACGCCGCGCGCACATACCGCTTTTTTTTTTACCATCCAAGGTGGCGCGAAAGTGTTAAACAGTCTACAAGTATGAAAACTTGCCAATCAACTATTGTTATTGTTATAAACAGCCTCCTGATGCTTTGGAGCTCATTAACCGTTTAATAATTGTAAACAAAGCCACCAAAGACTGAGAAAAGATGTACAGGTTCGGAAGTGCTTGCGTAACTGCTTCGTGAATCTGGCCCTAGGTGTCCAGGCCTCTCAAAACCAGTAGGACTTGTGTAAGCAGTCACACTTTGTCGTAGGAGGGTTTCTACTGCCTTTCTACTTCAATAATTGACCAACAATTTAGACATAAATAACACAAGCCTGGCTTCATATGCCTATAACTAGCAATGTAGGTTTGATTATCCGTACTGGATTTTCAAAAGCTATCAGATACGGTATAAAAGTGGCCATACATGTAATCCTATTTATTAAGCTCATTTACATCACAATAAGCCCAACGTAGATTATTTATTACTTTCTTAAAACTCACAAACCTACTTTTATGCTTAAAGCAAAACATACACCTTGCATAAACTGAAATATCGCTCAAAGTGAATGACAACATTAAATGGAAAATGATGTAGTGATAAAAGAGGTTATACCATGTGCTAAAACTCATCATGGTCCAAATGCTGGAACAGCACTGGAGTATATGACAGGTATACTCACTTTTTTGGAATCAGCTCCTTGCACGAAAGCTGGAAAAAGCTCACTTAAAATTATTGGTAAATATACTGTACAAACTGAAAGCGGCTCGTGCGAGGTTCCTTCCTCCACCTGGCACACACCTCCACTCACCATCCACCTGTCAAGATATGTCATGCCTGCCCACCTCTCTTGCACAAGCAGTAAATAGCGGCAAACTCATTATTCTTGACCAATTATGCCAATAGTCTTCAGACATGTGAGAGCCGTGTCGCCTCACATGTTCCCCTCTCTCCTTGCTGCTCTTTTTGCTTACTATACCTGTTGTTATTGGTCATCGACCGCTGCAAAGTTTTCATATCATCTCTCCGGTCTAGTTTCTACCTACATCAACTTTACCACAGCAATTTTGCCAGCTCTTTTCAAAGTCCTTTCCCTATGTGCCTAAAACATTTAGCTTCATATCCAACAGCACTTTAATAATGATAGCAAACTTCCCTGGAGTTATTTTTATGGATCTATGAAAGCAATTTAATTGCTTAGCAAAAAATATCCACTATCTGAACAATAGTTCTTTCTCTAATTTAACTATGGCATCAACCCAGGAAATTAAATTTGTTAATACAAAATTGCAAAACTAATGCAATGGTTGAATAGGATTTAGGAATATGTTACTATAACATACGTTCCGGCCAGCAGGGCCATAAATGGAGCCGTGATCAATGCCTATCATAAGAGATACTCACACTGCATAAAGACGCCTTGCATGCGTGCTCTTGTCTGTTCTCGGAACTTGGCCAACTCCTCTTCATACTGGCCCTTCTCGGTCATCAGTCGCCGTACGTGGGAGTTGGTCGATTGAATCATGCCATAGAAAGTGCCAGCATTGCGTTTGCTGCAGTCGCCTCGCTCCAACCAAGTGATGAGAATTTGAGCTGCCTTTGAAAAGCTTTCATCTCCTGAAAAAATATAAAAATACCCCCATTGAATGTAATTGAAATGGCTCTATCCTGGTGGCTGCCAGAAGCTAGCCAGAACCTGGTCCAAACAATAGGGGTGCAGAGTCTGGGGAGCCTCATCAAGCCAAGCCAAGAAGAAAACCACCATACAGGTAGAGCACTCCATAACAAGCAACTGCATCAAAATTATACAAATAATATAATTAAAACAAATATAATACACATACCAGTAGGAACTCTGAAAATTAAATACACAGTCTTAACACTTTTGTGTTCACGTGACGTGTTTCAGTGCTACTGGCAATCCGACAGTAAACGTTCCATTGGCGCTAGACCGTGTCATCCGAGTGTTACTCACAAACAGTTATATATTCATTGCTGTCATGCAACAATCAGTTGCAAATACACTCGTTTTTGGCTTCTGTTCTCTCGGAAATTCATTTGCGAATATTTTGATACCACATTTATAGTTATAACCCAACAAATAAAAGAGAAAAGTAAAATGAGTGTAAATATTTGTCACATCCCAGAGTAGCCCATGAGCCAATCGGGGAGCCCAGACTATTTAGTCAGGAATACTTGGCAAGACTGGACCACCAAAGTGTTAAGCAAGTTACCAATGCTAGTAATATTCCCCTCAATCATGCACTGTAAAAGAATGGAAACCAAACCCCCTAAATATAAAAAATAAACAAATAGGGAGGAGGCATTTTATTACATTAAATACTCAGTTGCAGGAAGCAGAAGGAGAAGAGGAGAAGACAAGAGAAGCAGACGTATTTTGACAGGTGATGGGTCCTGCTAAGAAGCAGGTCTTAGCAGGACCCACCAAAATAAGTCAGGTCATGATCCTGCAGGAGGAACTAAAGAATGTCTGCTCGCACTATAGCCTGGGACAGACAGGACATTGGTCTGGAAAGGGGTCACAGGAGTTCTACTCCCTGATCCCAGCCTGAGGCCAGGCTCGACCCACTGGAAAACGTGCAAAAAAAAATGAGGGAGTCCGAGAAACCTTCCAGCACCCAGGAACACATACAGGGAGGAGGCAACTGAGGAATCAAGCTCAAACTACAACACAGGATACAGATAATCCTCTATATGAAGCAATAATCCCTAACAAAAAGAGATCAAGAAGGCTTGAAGGACACAGACCCTCTTCCTTGGGGGCCCCTCCCCACCATCACAGACACCAAAGACCTCATCATGAAAGAACTGGGATCCACATCAGACTTTAAAGTGGATGGACAAGCATCCTCTCCAAACCTGAATTCTCCCTGTGGGGAAGGGGTAGACCCCTCACAGGGAGAATTCATGCCCTGAGAAACCCCAGCATGGAAGGCAAATGATCACTGATGGAAAATACCTGGGCTCCAAAACCTTAACACACGTCAGAGCACAAACCAAGGAAGTGAGAGGAAGGGGAAACCTACTCGGCACACAGCACCGCTGGTCCAGAAAATGAGCAAAATGGGAAAGCAAACTTGGAGCAAGTTTACAAAACTAAACACTCCACTTCAACCACATAAAGAGTGGGGCATCCAAACCAGTCCAGCACCACAAACAAAACATGTGTACCTGCCTGTACCTGAGCATTGAGAAGGTGGCACAGCCAAAACAGAGCTCCAATGATCTTGTGTCACAGGTCCTAGGATGAAAAACAATCATTCACCCAAGAGGCAGGATGGCAGAGGCTGAAAGAACAGCTAATGACATACATCAAAGATGGAACTTGCCAGCAGTGGCAAGGAAAAGACTTGCCTGGAACCAGCCACTGTACAGACCCTTAACCCCACTTGAACACAGCAATGACAGGCACAAGCAATGCGGTCAACCACTGACTTCCAGCCCACACCGTGCACCTCAAAAACATAACCCCCAGTTTGTCCCATTCCTTGGGCCTCGCAGAGGAGCAAACCCATACACAACCAAAGGGAGGTTCCTCGAGAAGAGGCAGACCCAAAAAGAGTATACACCCAAACCCAGCCGGGAAGTAACCCTGACCAGGTAGGGGACAACATCAGTGAACAACTAGGGGGAAGCAATTCTAGCCACATGCAGCTGAGGTAAACAGGTGACTTAAGGTCCACACAACAAGCGAGTCTTTGAAAAAACATGCTCGTGAAGCAATACAAACAATGAAACATACAAACAAGGGCACCTTCAGGACAGAAGCCAAAAGGATAGCCAACATACATACATTTACATATATGGAAAAACTGGGACCCAGAAGAGCAGTGGGAGGCACAAAAGAAGCTGTGATGAACAACACATCTGGCAGATGTCTCAAGTGTTGTTGCCAGCTGGGACTCGTGGTTGCTGGGGTTGCCATCTGGTGGTGGGGAGGTGTAACTTGTGGTGTTAACCAAGTCACAACTCTCCACCTAATTGTCAAGTTACCTCTATTATATTTGTATTGATTTCATTATTATACAAATACTGTTGTTGTTGTAATACAGTTAAGGAGAGCTCTACCTTTCTGGCAGCTTTTCCCGGCTTGGGTTGATCTAGTATCTCCCTGTGCTTTCTGGTCTTCAAAAGGTTTTTATGACTCACAAGGGTCTGGTATGGCATGACAAACTGGAAGCTAACCAGGTTTAGGAAGCCACCGATAAAACTTCCAAAAATAGAAAATTACACTAATTTTCTAGCAGCTGTCTGAGTTTTAATACTTTTAACTTAATATATTAATCTCATATAATTCTATCCTCTTGTTTACCTCATATGAAGCATGCACAATATCAGGTTATACATTAAGCATATGCATAAAATGCACATTCATTTATTATCCTGCACACCTTTACCTTTCAAGGGAGCATAAATTAACACTGTATATCATTAAAATGAGAACAAATAATCTTACTCTTAAATGAAACTTTTATGTAGTGACTGAATACAATATTTACCCTTCAACTGCTCAGCAATAAGAGTGGCTTCGTGCTCCGAGAAGTGGACCACTGGGGGCGGGGACGGAGGACGCAATCTTTCGGCTTCAATGCGCTCGCGATGGCGTTGTTCTCGCTGCAATTGTCTCTGTCTGCATTCCCATTCATACCTAGAATGATGAACTGTGTTATTTCCAGAGCAAAGGAAATTGAAATACACACACATAAGCCTTCAAGTCTATAAGAATGTAACCGTGACACATTTTGGCCTGGATTGAACTTTCTTCTCTTGCCTTCCTAGTACTGTAATATATAAGAAGCTGCACGAGTGTTGGACACGCTCCCTGTGGCTCCGGTACCTGGACTTCACGAGGATGAGGTTCTGAGAGTTATTCCACTCATTCCTTTCCCCCTCCCTGTCCCATCACAAATCCTTATTCTGACCACTCCCAAGTGAAAAATAATTGTAATGGCTTGGGGTTTTGCCCTGATAATTCCCTCCCCAAGCCTAGTCCTGAGCCATGTTTGACTTGCGAGAGTCTGGTCCAATAAGCTGTTGCTTGGAGCAGCCCGCAGGCTCACAAATCTACTACACTCCAGTTGGTCCGGCACTTCTTACAGAGACGTGTCCAGTTTTTCTCGAAAGACTTCCAATTTTGTTCCAGCAATATTTCTTATACTTACTGGGAGGATATTGAACAACTGTGGACCACAATGTTCATACAGCATTTGTTAAATATGCCTGTGGTATCTTTGTTCTTTACTGGCTCTATTTTGCATTTCCTTTCACATTGTTCAGTTCAGTATGTTGTTATTTTACATAGTAAATTTGGGACCTGGCCCCCAGTATTTTCCCAGTATATGTATATTATCTGATATCTCTCATCTCCTTACTAGAGTATACTTTGAGAGCTTTGAGACAATCCAAAAATTTAGGTGCTTTATTGCGTCTATAAAGTCCAGCTTTTCACTGTGCTTGGACTTGGTTTGATTTAGTTGACTGTTACTCTTTGCATTCAGTTTGACAGAAAATTGAATATCCAAACCCTACTTAACCTGCTATTCCTATCACTTCATTGTCATATCTTGAGCATATCTTGAGATGATTTCGGGGCTTTAGTGTCCCCGCGGCCCGGTACCAGGCCTCCACCCCCAGGAAGCTGACTAACTCCCAGGTTATTTACTGCTAGGTAACAGGGGCATTCAGGGTGAAAGAAACTTTTGCCCATTTGTTTCTGCCTCGTGCGGGAATCGAACCCGCGGCACAGAATTACGAATCCTGCGCGCTATCCACCAGGCTACGAGGCCCCCGGACACATTTATCAAATGTTTTTGCAAAGTCCGTGTATACCACATCTGCATTTTGTTTTCTTCTAATGCCTCAGTGACTTTGTCATAGTGGTCTAGTAGCTGTGAAAGGCATGATCTTACCACTCTAAATCCATGTTGACCTGGGTTGTGGAGGTCATTGGTCTCCATAAAAATGAAGGTCTGATCACTTTCTCAAATTTTTTTATTATGTGGGACATTAGTGCGACTGGTCTATAGTTCTTGGTCAATGCTCCGTCCCTTGTGTAGGGGAGCTATATCTGCTGATTTAAGTGGTTTCTGGTATCTCCCTGGGCATCTCCCTGAGCATCCCCCCTAAGCCTCTCCCTAAGTATCTCCCTAAATATCCCCCTACACATCTCCCTAAATATCCCCCTATGCATCTCCCTAAGTATCTCCCTAAGCATCCCCCTAAGCATCCCCCTAAGCATCCACCCTAAGCATCCCCCTAAGCATCCCCCTAAGCATCTCCCTAAGCATCCCCCTAAGCATCTCCCTAAGCATCTCCCTAAGCATCCCCCTAAGCATCCCCCTAAGCATCCCCCTAAGCATCCCCCTAAGCATCTCCCTAAGCATCTCCCTAAGCATCTCCCTAAGCATCTCCCTAAGCATCTCCCTAAGCATCCCCCTAAGCATCTCCCTAAGCATCCCCTTTAAGCATCTCCCTAAGCATCTCCTCCCCTCTACAATGAGTGCTTGTGCTACTGGCACTTTGCATTTCTTTGTAAATACTGAATTCCACAAGTGTGGACTCGGGGTGTGGAGCCGCGAGTGTCATCCTCCCCAGCTTCCCGACCACTGCACAACACACTCGTACCTTGTGGAGCAACCCAATGTGAAAGCCCACAAAAGATAGAAACTCTCAAATATACTCACTGATCATCCCTGGCCTGGGCATAGTCAACGTGTAGTCGTCCAGTGTTTGCCGCCTCTGTGCTATTATTAATGCGCATTCTGTACCCTGCAATACAAAACCCCAAATACAGTACAGTATTTTGTAATGCATCAATGAGCAATCATTAACTCCTAGTTAATGATTGCTCATTAACTTCATGAGTGCTGGAACTTCAAGAACAAGAGGTCATGGATTTAAACTAACTAAACAATGGTGCCAAAGAAACACAGTATAAGGAAATTCACTTTCGCAAACAGAGTGGTAGACAGTTGGAACAAGTTAGGCGAGAAGGTGGTGGAGGCCAAGACCGTCAGTAGTTTCAAAGTGTTATACGAGTGCTGGGAAGACGGGACACCACAAGCGTAGCTCTCATCCTGTAACTACACGTAGGTAATTACATAACAAATTTTACACCTTGAAAGCCTAATCAAAATTTCACTTCTATTCCCTTTGTTCGGTAATTTCAGTGTGCGTGTACAGTTAGGTGCATGGATAGGCACGAGCAGACGATCAGGAACAGTAAAGTGGCTGAAGATAAGAAAACCAAACCCCACACAACATAAGATGAAGAGAACGTCATCTCTCCATCTTCTGGTGTGTGGTTTGGTCATCATGGGCATAAGAGCTGTAATTTAATATGTAGCTATATTAGGATTAAGATACATCACGTTAAAGAGCAGCACATCTCCAGCTACTGTATCGCTGTATTTATACTCCTTCCTCGTGGATACACCGAGTAACACTGGTGACGGCAGGTGTAGGAGGGGCAAGAGTACGAGTGCTCTTGCCTTGGGTATAGGGCAAGTATGTGTGGGGTCAAAGCTCAAGGCAAGTTTATGTGAGAGAGGGTATCTGAAGCCACCCCCCCCCAAACTACACTGTGCATTTCAGAATGTATCCTGATACCCACCAATCCAAACACTGACAACATATGCACGCTATTTGACGAGCGTAGCCTAATAGTTTAGAAACAAAGGATGCAATAATACGGATCATAATATGCAGGGGTCGTGCTATACTGGTGAAATTCCCTTACAAATAGATGATATGCACATCTTAATGTCTGGAGACTAAGAATGCACAATGAAATTCTAGACGTAGCAATTTTTTGTCTAACACTTTTTGCGGTGTGGAGCCCCACACCGCATACCCAACAGTAAATGGTCTGGGTCCCAAGGGTCCTGCTTGGCAATGCATAAAATGTTTAAATGCACAGTGATGGATTGAGTACTGTACATAGTGCAGGGTTGAGTACACAGTGATGGTTTAAGTTATCTTGAGGTTATCTTGAGATGATTTCGGGGCTTTAGTGTCCCCGCGGCCCGGTCCTCGACCAGGCCTCCACCCCCAGGAAGCAGCCCGTGACAGCTAACACCCAGGTACCTATTTTACTGCTAGGTAACAGGGGCATAGGGTGAAAGAAACTCTGCCCATTATTTCTCGCCGGCGCCTGGGATCGAACCCAGGACCACAGGATCACAAGTCCAGCGTGCTGTCCGCTCGGCCAACCGACCATATTCTGTCCGTGCTGTCCGCTCGTCGCTGTCCGACCGACCGTATTTGACCGTGCTGTCTGCTCGGCCGTACAGTACAGAAGTACTGTACACATGCAGATGACGAGTCACAATAACGTGGCCGAAGATACAACGACCAAACTACACATCACAAAATAAAGAAACGTCAACATTTCTGTCCGTCCTGGACAGACAGACGGGCAATATAAAAAAACGAACAGATATCAAGTCGGGTAATGGAAAGAGTGAAAGAAACAAACAAATACATAAAGAGAGAAAGTGAGACACGTGCTCCTCACCTTGCAAGAGAAAGAAAAAGCAAAGAGTAAAATAAAGGAGGGTAAGAATAAGATTAAAGGAAAGATTGATCACGTTGGACCAACTTGACAACGACGGACTGAAGTGTCGTTTCGGCCCGTCCTTAGTTTGATGTTGGATTTGATCATAAATTTAAAGCCATACTTGAAAATGAATGGCTCTATACACTATGAATCAAGCTCTACAGGTCATGAATCAAGCTATATATGCCATGAACCAAGCTATATATGCCATGAACCAAGCTATATATGCCATGAACCAAGCTATATATGCCATGAACCAAGCTATATATGTCATGAACCAAGCTATATATGCCATGAACCAAGCTATATATGCCATGAACCAAGCTATATATGCCATGAACCAAACTATATATGCCATGAACCAAGCTATATATGTCATGAACCAAGCTATATATGCCATGAACCAAACTATATATGCCATGAACCAAGCTATATATGTCATGAACCAAGCTATATATGTCATGAACCAAGCTATATATGCCATGAACCAAGCTATATATGCCATGAACCAAGCTATATATGCCATGAACCAAGCTATATATGCCATGAACCAAGCTTTGTAAACCATGAATCATATCTCTTAGAATATAAAGGTAAATAACAAATAACTGAGACTTCACAGCCCACAGAGACAAATGGTGTAAACAAATATTGACTTAAAAAGCAAACATTTTTTAGAGAACATCAACTGCTTACCTGACAGAAAGATGGCGTTGTCAACAAACTCTTCGAGCTCATATCTTATGTGGCAGAAATTCTTTTTGCTCAGGCGTATCGTCGTGATCTCTCCGCAGCGCTCGAAGACGTCGCGGACAATCTCCTCTGCAACATATTGCTTCAGCTCACGCATACTGAATATTTCCACAGCACAGCGGTTAAAGATCTCACCAATGTAATAATGGTTCTCTTCTACAAATTCTCCTTTTTTACTCCCTACGTACGAGGCAGTCACTCAGGCAATGATACTCCAATCACCTTTAAACTGTGTGTGTGTGTGCCTGTACCGTCAAGTGACCGTGCCATACAAAAGCTGTTAAAACACTACTTTGCTCAACCGCAATCCACTTGAAGATTCTAGGCGAGTCCATCCATAACCCTACCACTGCCAACCACGCTTATTCCCGACACACTCTAACTGTAACATGGGATGCGTGTCGGTAACCTAGCTACCAGTATGGTGAAAGTCTCTGACACAAGGTGTGACCTTGGCCCACATAGTAGCAGATGGGGAGGGTGGGGGGGGGGCAGCACTGGCGGGAGAAAAGGGTGGAGTGGGTCGTGTTGAGTAAAGTGAATGCGGGAATTACCAGGGCCACATAAGGGGTCCCGTGGAGAAAGTTGTTACTGTTCACAATGAGGTTTGGTACAATAATTACTAGGCACGTCACTCCTCTACACAATAGCTAGGTTGTGAAATACATTATACTAAATATTTGAGTTAACAAAAATACATATACTTTATATACTATACATAGAAAGAAGTCTAGTTATTAAACATCAAACCTAGAACAAATCTGTAATGGCTTTCTCAGTTAGCAAGTGACAACCTCTGATTGTCAGAAGACTCACTGAACATTCGCGAAGAAAACAAAAACATCCACAAAACTTTGTTATGAAAAAGCTGAATGTTGAAACCACTCAACTCTATAATTTCACTCAGCGACACAATAATTGTTAACAATAACTATGACACTCTTATCACGACTAAAACAAATAGGGAAAGAATAGCTGCTGCTAATTGTGTTTGATTGTGAGACTGTGTTTCATGGAATATCCACATTAGAGAGGTTATCTTGAGATGATTTCGGGGCTTTAGTGTCCCCGCGGCCCGGTCCTCGATCAGGCCTCCACCCCCAGGAAGCAGCCCGTGACAGCTGACTAAACACTCAGGTACCTATTTTACTGCTAGGTAACAGGGGCATAGGGTGAAAGAAACTCTGCCCATTGTTTCTCGCCGGCGCCTGGGATCGAACCCAGGACCACAGGATCACAAGTCCAGCGTGCTGTCCGCTCGGCCAACCGGCTCCCTAAGGGAGAGAGACGCAATCTTGGCAGACTTTCAAAATATTCCCCTCCGCCTACTTCTTATCTCCTGTTTCTCTGTCTATCTTTAACATTTTCATTAATCTATCCCCCAGTTTCCCTGCTACTCTTTCTTCTTTTCTCCCTGTCTCTTCATGTGCTTAGATTCTTGTCAATAAATCTTTTCACACACACACATTACTCTCTACCTCCCATTGTCTTTCCTCTCATTCACATCCATTCATAAAATGTACTTATTCTTGCACCACCTCATTCCTCCAAGCAATTCCCCTCATTTGTCTGCCAGTGTGTTCAACTCCATGCCATTCATTTGTCTGCCAGTGTGTTCAACTCCATGCCATTCATTTGTCTGCCAGTGTGTTCAACTCCATGCCATTCATTTGTCTGCCAGTGTGTTCAACTCCATACCATTCATTTGTCTGCCAGTGTGTTCAACTCCATGCCATTCATTTGTCTGCCAGTGTGTTCAACTCCATGCCATTCATTTGTCTGCCAGTGTGTTCAACTCCATGCCATTCATTTGTCTGCCAGTGTATTCAACTCCATACCATTCATTTGTCTGCCAGTGTGTTCAACTCCATGCCATTCATTTGTCTGCCAGTGTGTTCAACTCCATGCCATTCATTTGTCTGCCAGTGTGTTCAACTCCATGCCATTCATTTGTCTGCCAGTGTGTTCAACTCCATGCCATTCATTTGTCTGCCAGTGTGTTCAACTCCATGCCATTCATTTGTCTGCCAGTGTGTTCAACTCCATGCCATTCATTTGTCTGCCAGTGTGTTCAACTCCATGCCATTCATTTGTCTGCCAGTGTGTTCAACTCCATGCCATTCATTTGTCTGCCAGTGTGTTCAACTCCATGCCATTCATTTGTCTGCCAGTGTGTTCAACTCCATGCCATTCATTTGTCTGCCAGTGTGTTCAACTCCATGCCATTCATTTGTCTGCCAGTGTGTTCAACTCCATGCCATTCATTTGTCTGCAGTGTGTTCAACTCCATGCCATTCATTTGTCTGCCAGTGTATTCAACTCCATACCATTCATTTGTCTGCCAGTGTGTTCAACTCCATGAACTTTCCCTCATTTTTCTTCCTGTGTGTTCAACTCCATGCATTTCCTAGGCATTGTTAACCCAACATTTCTTGTTAACATCCCAAATGGCAATAAGGTTAATTTCTTGTTTACGTACTACAATACATGACATTAAGGTTCAACTGTTCACTGTCTCGTTCAGATCACCATCAATTCTTCTATTGTACTCGCCCGCCAATTCTAGCACTGTGCTCCAGACATTCCCCTCGATGCTCAATTAGGCATTATGTAATGCCAAATTGTGAGCACAGATAAATTTCCAGGTAATCCTCTCAATGCTCTTGTATCACCCATAAGTATACTTGTATCACCAATCACACTGTCAGCCAACCACTTTGGTATAGTTTTAGTATCATTTATCCTATATACATATACTGTATATACTGTATATATATACACAGTACTGTATATTCATATCATTACATTTCACGTATGTATTAGTACAGTAATACATAATTTCCTTACACACAACTTTCAATCTACAGTCATTGTCATTTTTCCTAAGACATCATTACGCCATTCTTAGGACCTATTTCCACTAATCTTCTCTCCTAGCACCCGAGACAAATATTTTGTAATTCTTAGGCATCAAACCAAAATCTCATTCTCTAAGAGACCCCCTAAAAGACTTTCCCATTTTCATTCATATGTAATATTACTCACGCGTTTACATTTTCAAGCTTGAACTTGACACACAAACACCTTCAACTGCCATATGGGATGTTATTCACTACTCGATACCTCTCATGATTCATTAGTACACATACTTCTTCCTTCCTTATTCACTCATTCATGTATTCATTTCTGTTCTTACAACATTATTAGTCTTCATTCCACTCTTTTATAATAATTTCTTTTTCCTTTTGTCCCCAACCCTTTTTTTGAGCAGGAGGCCTGGTCGACGACCGGGCCGCGGGGACACTAAGCCCCGGAAGCACCTCAAGGTAGGTAACCCATTCTCTTTAAATGATAGTACTTAAAGCAGCTATTTGGTTGAACATACAAAAATGGGCCGCTGCAGCCCTTTTACTGTTCACGGTTTGTGCTATTCCTTTTGTAGAGGGCGTGAAAAAAAGTCCAATATCAAACTTAAACATTCTTAGGCCTAGTATACCTTGTGGTTACCTTCCAATTACCTTGCGGTTACCTTGTGATGATTTTGGTGTTCAACATCCCCTGCCCGGTCCCCAACCAGGAGCACATACATGTACTGGTTGATACCTGGTTGATGGGGTTCTGGGAGTTGTTCTACTGCCCAAGCCCGGCCCGAGGCCAGGCTCGACTTGTGAGAGTTTGGTCCACCAGGCTGTTGCTTGGAGCGGCCCGCAGGCCCACATACCCACCACAGCCCGGTTGGTCCGGCACTCCTTGGAGGAATAAATCTAGTTTCCTCTTGAAAATGTCCACGGTTGTTCCGGCAATATTTCTATATTAATAGTACTATATAAATTTCAAGGACTGCTTATTTAGGTCTTGAATAGGTTACGTTATTACTAGTCACTTTCCCATCTCTTAGTTTGTCACTTGAGCCAGTTCAGTAATGCAAAACATGAAGTTTGGGGTTCCAGCACTATAGTTTTTTATGTTTGACCAAATAGTTGCAACAAGTACAATGATCATTAGAGGACGGGCTGTTGTTTCATTCATCAAACTTTATTTTTAAACTTTGCTACTTTCAACTACTTATGTTCCTAATTAATTTATCTCACATTCCACTCAGCCATGCAAAACTGCATTTGATTTCTGAGGCCTGGAAGAAACTTGGGAAAGATACATCTCCCAACCATATTCCGGTGCCTCTGTAAGACGGGATGTGTGCCAGACTACACCACACAGTAGTGACAGAGAAGGTTTACCACATCCCTATATCACATCTTTAACACAGGGAATGCATAGCAGACCGCACCAAGCAGTAGTGGACAATTTAGCTACACACTGCTACATAACACATGTGATGCATGGCAGACTGCATCATGCAGTAGTGGACAATTCAGCTACACTGCTACATAACACATGTGATGCATGGCAGACTGCATCATGCAGTAGTGGACAATTCAGCTACACTGCTACATAACACATGTGATGCATGGCAGACTGCATCATGCAGTAGTGGACAATTTAGCTACACTGCTACATAACACATGTGATGCATGGCAGACTGCACCAAGCAGTAGTGGACAGTACAGATATCACATCCCTATGTCACAACTACAACACAGGGAATGCATGGCAGACTGCACCATTTAGTTGCAGTTGAAGTTGTCACAAACTCTTTACTGAAGTCACACCAAACATAAAATCTCCATTAACAATAATGTTACTTTTATGAACATTCACCCGAGCTAAGCACAAGCATAAAAGGCATTTAAATTTGTTACAAGCTCGGTGGAAGAAAACTTAATGGTGTGGATTACCCGTCAGAAGTCAAGCCTGGCCTCGGGCTGGGCTTGGGGAGTAGAAGAACTCCCAGAACCTCATCAAGCAGGTATCAAGCAGGTACCCCACTGGGTAAACAAATTCTATTCCAATTTAAATACCGCTTAACACACACTACTGGTCATTTCAGGCAATGCCATTATTTCCCCTTAGCTATGATGCTCCATAGGCCTCAGACTTGTCTCCAGTAAACGTTTATAAAATTCAAAGCTAGTAAACCAAAATAACTATCTTTTACATTATCTATGATGAGATAACTTGGGGCATGTTGATTTGAGGAGAATGCTGACTGAATATTCTGCAACAGCCACTTGCATAACTGCAAAGAGGCCAGCAACCACCAACAATATCTTAGTTTGTTAAACCCCAGAATGCAGCCTCTCAAGTCATGTAAAAAGTACATCACAATAACATAGTTCACAATACACATAGGAATCACAATACTGTAGTGTGATGCATCAAATCAACAAATCCGCACCCATGCCTTCGAACCCTCATCACGGCCCTTTTGGATTTGTTCATGGTTCACAACAAATACCCAAACTTGCATATATGAAACGAAAGTGATTACACACACTTTCACGTTATTTATAGCCCCTGACATTTTAAAAAACCTTGTATTTATTTCAACTTTCACTGTATTTATGAAGTAATAGCTCGAAGAGATTCACTTGGTACAAATACTAGTCATAAATATTGTACAGTATCCAGTGGGGACCATTGGTATTGAGGGAGAGAAGGTAGCCTGCTTAGGCCAGGCTTGACTTGTGATACAACTTATACAATAAGCCTAAACTTATTACTACAATTACAACCCAATAATTAATAATAACTTTTCCAAGAAATATATAACTCGAGGCATTATTCAAAATTCATTACTTCCTCCTATACTTTTAATAAAATTTTATGGTCAAGTTGATCATGAACCTTAACAATTAAAATTTTAAATGCAATCCAAAAGTGATTGCATGTGAATTCTATCTTTAAATTCATTTAAACGCTGCGCACGCGGTAGGTTAGGTAAGGCTACGTTCAAAGTGTTTAAGTCAAAAATTAAGTTTGGTAAGAATATGTTTGATTACTTTCATTAACAATGATTTGGCGTAACCTGAAACTTTGCCAGATACAAAAACGAGATTAATTGGGCGTACAGAGGCACAGAGTCATAGAATCTGCGCAGAGTCTGCACATATATTTCAGAGAACAAATAATGATTACAACGAAGACATCAACATAACCATATAAACAAAGCACAAGCATGCTACCTGTAACGTTCTCTGGAAGACCACCGACAAAAATAGTTCTGCACCCTAGAGGTCGTTCTCGGGTGGTGGGTGGCGGGGCGAGGCGATTGGGCGGGACCAGCACACAGGTTTTACAGTGTAAAGGGTTCTTCATGGGTACTGTGAGGCCCTCGGGAGACATCATCCAGCCAAACATCCCCCATGTAATGCGGAAGTCACCACTCTGGAACATTAAATAGTAAAGTTATGCTCAATATTTCATTTAAACTAACTAACTATCAATACCAAACTTTAGTCTAACAAGTTGAGACATTGAATGAAGTCAATATGATAAAAGCAGTGAACTGTATATTGTATTAAAATCCAAGTGTTGCATGCCAGTAAAATACAGAAATAATAAAAATAAATCAGTAAATGTCTGTGTGCGTGACTGTGTGTATTGTAATGATAATATTGTGCCTATATAGCAGTGACTACAGAGATCATACGAATAAAAGAAATTGCAAAAGGACTATTGGCCCACATGAGTCAACTTTAATTTCTATCCACCCAAACTGTTTTACACACCTAATGTCTATCCTACCCTTGAAACAATCCAGCTAGCCCATGTCTCTAATGTTACCTGGTAACTTGTTTTATAAATCTACAATCACAAACACCACAGTCAGCCACGTGTTTTATGAACGCCTGTTAGCCGAAAATGTCTGTTACCCGATTGGTTTTTTTTTTCTTGGATAAAAAAGTTTGGATAACAGGTGCAGCAGGCAGTATAAATAAAAATGTGCAATAAAGATGAAACTAGTTTGCTCAGCAACCGTACACAGCACCACTTGAGCAGTGCTCTTACTCTAATGGATGGCTCAGCAGCTTTCAACTCTGCCATGGCATTAGGTACACTAAAGTATGTAGAGACAGTGAATCAAAGCTGACCAAAGCAAAACTGGCAGAGGAAACGACTACGATATGTCACAAGTGTCAGACACGACGGTCGGAAACTTGATCAGAAAAGAACAGCTGGGGGATTTGCAGCGAAAAGCAGCTTCAGCCTGAGAGTCAGCTGACCAAAACTGAAGTCTAGCACTGACCATGGGGCACAAACACATGGGTGAGAAGGGCCCCCTGGACCAAGCAGGCCACTTGAATGAGGCAAAAGGAATAGCCACCAAAGTCTAAGAACACTGAAGCATATCCTGGAAAACCGAAAAAATATGGAATCAGACGGAAAGCCATAAAGATACAGCCAAATTTACCAGACAAACCCCATAGGAATGAGGGACCCAGGCCAACCAAACTGTCAAGACAGGTAATTATCTTGGCAAAACAAACACACAGCAGGGAAGGGGTAAGCAGCCATGGATCATGAAATTCATTTTAAGCATCCCCAAGTGGGACTTGCTGCTCAGGGATGCTTAAAAGTGTTATACGACAAAGAGTACTGGGAAGACGGGACACCACGAGCATAGCTCTCATCCTGTAACTACACTTAGGTAATTACTTATCTAGACTATCTGGAACCAGAAGAGTTAGCAACTCGTGAAGTTGTCGGGCACGTCTAACATCAAGCAAAGAACTGCTGATTGTTGATATATATATCGCTCCCATGATGCTCACCTAGTTGAGTACTATAGTGCTGCCATTGAGTGATGGTTAGCTGTTACCAGTAGGTCTATAACCTAGGTAATGAGTGCATCATTTGCCTCATCATTTGCTGCCTTCTTTGTTTACTTTCTGAGAACTATACAGTCTGTCTTGCTTCTCTTTCTTTCTGGGGGTTTGTTGTTATTATGGTGGGAGTGATCATGAATACCCAGTATCCTGCACCTCTGTTAGGGAGCCAGGTTTTGGTCCTTGGTTTCTGGTAGACCATTAACGACTGGTAAGGCTTCATGTGACATAGGTCTGGAACTATCTCAATGCAGCTAACTTCAAGGAACTAGTATACATCACCCCAGTATAACAGGCAGGTAAAATGTGAAAGTATACCACATCTTTCTCTAGTCCTATAAGCCAACACCACAACCTTCCCTCTCCCCCCATCCATCCCTTACCAATAAGGACACTATCCCGGTATAAGTAACAGTTTAGATCATGAGGAGATTAGTGTGTCCTTGCCTGACTGCCCAGTCAGGGAGGAGTATTAGAGATCAGAAATCATCACAGACACATAAGGGATACTCAGCTATTGTCATGTGGACTGCAACAGTGTACTGTATTGGTAAAGGTGTTGACCCCCCCATGATCTATTTGCTAAGCTCTACTTCTAAGGCACCAGATCTGATTAATTTCCACCATAAAATTACAAAAATTTATGTTTAGTGAAATTATACAAATGTGATATAGAGTATATAGTAAATCACTGGGACACAAGTGCACGTTTGTGGACGTATCGTATTGTGTCATCCAAAAAACACATGCGAGAGAATAAAGTGATTACAATACGCAATTTGTTCATAAACTTCAAACAAAAAATCATTTTTCCAGTTGTTCAAGATTTTATTGGTACTGTACTGTTCAGTATATGATTGTGTTTAGTAAGCGAGCCTTAATTCTTCATTAGAAGTTAAATAATTTTTTTATTTTATATCAATTTTATACTGCACTGCATTGTATGTATGACACACCATCAATCAATACACTAGTATTTTGTTCACACAATAGATTACCCTAATCGTGCTTCTTTCATCCTAAACACCACCACTAATCCAGAAACAATTATTTCTCACTCACACAAGGCAGACCGAGTGTCTTAACTTGGAGGTTAAGACGCACACAATGTATCCCTCCTCGATCGACCATAAACAAAGAAGTGTAACGCACACTACACGACCTCCACACTAACTCAATCACACCGAATCAAGTCGATACAACTCTCACAGTGCCTGAATTTCACCGAGAAAAGTGATATATATATATAATGACTCCCATGTTGCCTGAATCATGATTAAAGCTCCTTCTCAGACAACATCTAAAGCAAGGACGTGTGTCTCAAGACTGGACGTACACACACACACACGTCTCCAATCTTCAAGAAGGGCAGAAGCACACCAGAAAACTACTGCCAAATCTCCATTATCTTATCTGTAACCTCATAGACAAATTTTAATGGGAACCAAATGTCAACCATATCCTGATGCAAGAGACATGTCAAAGCATCGCAACATGGATTCTGTGAAAAATAAATCTTGTCCAACAAACCTGCCAAGTTTTCTGGAGACTGTAATCAACTACACTAACCAATGAATTCTGGTCGATGTCCTGTACATCGGCTTCTCCAAGGGTCTCATCAAAATTCTTGCCCATAAAATCCAAGCACATGGAATCACTGGCAAAATACTGGAATGGATAAAATAAAGGCTGAAACACAGAAAGCAGAGAGTCTTCCTAAATAAGAGTAGAATCCAACTATAATAATGTTTTGAGTAAAGTGCCCATCACACTGACAAAAACATCTCGAACAACAACAACACCAACAGTCACACTGACAAATACACCCAGCAGCACATCACCAAATATGCAAATAATGCAAAGATTTATAGTGATTTAAAAACATAAGAGGATTACTTGTGCCCCACAAATGGTCAACAGCTATAACAACTACTCAATACACTGTATATACCAAAATACAAACCCTAACATGTGGGTTACAACATTATTCACCTCAAGCTGCCATGTTGAGTATACCACCTTATGACCTATAAACAACAATTGTGACATTTTTGGGGGCAAAATAGTTCACCAGTCAATGAAACCAGCACAGCAAGTATGAGCAGAAATTATAAAAGGCTGCCAAACTCTGGGAATAAATAAACATTTAAATGAACACTACATTTTTTTTATGCACATCCCCATTACCCTATTGTCTATACCCATAGCATGGGGAGGCAGTAGCCCAGAGAAGAAAAACAGGTGAACAGTCTAGTGAAAGAAGGTTACCAACTTAAAAAAAAAAAAATCACTTGTCCATTTACTATACAAATCACAGTACAGAGCACCGAGGGACAAGCAAGTACCAGCACGCTCCAGCCGTTGTCCACAGCTGCATACGACCAGGTACACAATGCTCCTCTGTCATATGTAGCACGTGCACACACACAGTCACTCCCTCCTTATACACTGCTGGCATCCATTCTTGTCTCTCGCTACAACCTGTGTCCTCTTTACACTGACACTGCTTCCTCACTCACTCATCCTGTCCTCTTTACACTGACACACACAGCTTCCTCACTCACTCATCCTGTCCTCTTTACACTGACACTGCTTCCTCACTCGCTCATCCTGCCCTCTTTACACACACTCACAGCTTCCTCACACACTCATCCTGCCCTCTTTACACACACACACAGCTTCCTCACACACTCATCCTGCCCTCTTTACACACACACTGCTTCCTCACACACTCATCCTGTCCTCTTTACACACACACACAGCTTCCTCACTCACTCATCCTGCCCTCTTTATACACACACACAGCTTCCTCACTCACTCATCCTGCCCTCTTTACACACACACACAGCTTCCTCACACACTCATCCTGCCCTCTTTACACACACACACAGCTTCCTCACACACTCATCCTGCCCTCTTTACACACACACTGCTTCCTCACACACTCATCCTGTCCTCTTTACACACACACACACAGCTTCCTCACTCACTCATCCTGCCCTCTTTATACACACACACAGCTTCCTCACTCACTCATCCTGCCCTCTTTACACACACACACAGCTTCCTCACACACTCATCCTGCCCTCTTTACACACACACACAGCTTCCTCACTCACTCATCCTGCCCTCTTTACACACACACACAGCTTCCTCACACACTCATCCTGCCCTCTTTACACACACACACAGCTTCCTCACACACTCATCCTGCCCTCTTTACACACACACTGCTTCCTCACACACTCATCCTGTCCTCTTTACACACTCGCACTGCTTCCTTACTCACTCATCCTGTCCTCTTTACACACACACAGCTTCCTCGCACACTCATCCTGTCCTCTTTACACACACACACAGCTTCCTCACACACTCATCCTGCCCTCTTTATACTCACACAGCTTCCTCACTCACTCATCCTGTCCTCTTTACACACACACACAGCTTCCTCACACACTCATCCTGTCCTCATCACACACACACAGCTTCCTCACTCACTCATCCTGTCCTCATCACACACACACAACTTCCTCACTCACTCATCCTGTCCTCTTTACACACACACACAGCTTCCTCACTCACTCATCCTGTCCTCATCACACACACACAACTTCCTCACACACTCATCCTGTCCTCTTTACACACACACACAGCTTCCTCACTCACTCATCCTGTCCTCATCACACACACACACAGCTTCCTCATCCTGTCCTCATCACACACACACAGCTTCCTCACACACTCATCCTGCCCTCTTTACACACACACACAGCTTCCTCACTCACTCATCCTGCCCTCTTTACACACACACACAGCTTCCTCACTCACTCATCCTGCCCTCTTTACACACACACACAGCTTCCTCACACACTCATCCTGCCCCCCCTTCTTCCATCATTCTCTACCTTTACATTCACTTCAATAAACACACTTCACCTGCCCGTCAACCCTCATCAATTAGTTCTACAAAATCCCCTCAGTGTACATTCATCAATCTTGGTATTTATGAACAATTTCACTCCATATTAGATAGAATGTTCTCAAGTGACAGAACAGTGAAAAATTACAATGAACTCAGAAAATGTGTCATGGAAGCACAATCTATACACAGCTTTAAATACAGATATTGCAGAGGGCAATACACTCTTCAACTATACTCGAGTTGACTAAGGATTGAGAGGTATAGCCACAGCGTGTATACCCTGCAACAACAACTTCCTGACATTTTCATTCCTGATTATCTATTCTCCTAATGCAAAATTTAAAAAACTTCTTAAATCGTATACTTGTGGCACTTAAATTCTTGGATTTTCACGTCAGTACCACACACCATCTTGCGTCTGTACAGAAAGGTCAACACAAGCATTCCTATTTGCAGTTCTCTGGCTGCACCTACTACCTGGAACATACCTGCTCCGGGTTTCGGGAGTTCTTCTACTCCCGAGCCCGGAGTGGGGCCTATTCTAATCTAATCTCGTTTTTTCTAACTGGGCCTTTCACTGCATCAGCCACTTTCCTTCCTCAACACACAACTTCATTAGCACAATTTCCACTGTAATTACTCGCATGTAAATGACCTCGCAGTGAGAGTGAGCTAGTATATTTTGTTGTTTACAAATGATAATGAAGAGAGTAAGAACTGAAGAGGACTGTAGGGTACTGCAAGAAGACCTTGACAAATTTCAGCAGTGTATAGATAAATAGCTGCTGGAATTCAATCCAAATAAGTGCAATGAAAGTGGGTAAGGGTGACCAGAGAACTATATTTAACTATACCATAAAGGGAAAGCAATTACAAGTAACATTAAAAGGAAAATACCTGGGAGTAGATATAATCCCAATATTAACACTGGTAGTTAATGTGAACAGGATAACATCAGTAGCATATGGGAAGTTAGCAAACATAACAATGTCATTTAAGAACCTAAACAAGGAGGCTTTCAAGTCCATACACACACTTCCTATATGAGACCATTACTTGAGTATGCAGCGCCAGCATGGAACCCCACACACCTTGTGAAGCACAAACACAAACCTGAGAAAGTTTAGAGGTTTTACAACTAAATTAGTACCAGAATTAAGAGGCCTCAACTATGAGTACAAGTGAAGAGAACTCTCCCTCACAGCCTTAGATGAGAGAAGAAGAAATGGGATATGAAAACTACATACAAGATCTTTAGGCAGATAAATAAAATAGATAAAGGAAGCTTATTCAGCTGTCACGGGCTGCTTCCTGGGGGTAGAGGCCTGGTCGAGGACCGGGCCGCGGGACACTAAAGCCCCGAAATCATCTCAAGATAACCTCAAGATTATTTAACTTAAAAAAAAAAAGTAGGACAAGAGGACACTTGTTGGAAGCTAGACATGCAAACTAAGCTGAAGAGTCATAAGAAAAATTCTCATATTCCTGAATGGGTGGTAGGCAAGTGGAGTGCATTGAAGGATGAGGTTGTTGAAGCCAATTCCATCCACAAATTTAAAAATATGATGAAAAACTTTAATCTTAAGTGAGGTAATGAACAAGGCTAAAAGGTGTGGGGCACAAAGAGCTAGATCTCAGTTCCTAACCCCCCCCCCCCCCTAACAAAGTCACTGATAAGTAAGCACCAGGAATTCAAACTGATCAAACACTTCCAACAGTTAACAAGTCACATATATTTCACACACAATTTTCCTCTACTTCTCCCACCATAAACTTATGTTTGTCCAGATCCACTTTTCTCCTCACAATCTCCTCTCTCAAACAATCTCCTCTCTCAAACAATCTCCTCTCTCAAACAATCTCCTCTCTCAAACACTCTCCTCTCTCTCACAAATAAACAATCTCTTCTCTCTCACAAATAAACAATTTCTTCTCTCACACAAATCAAATTTCCAACTACACTAGTCTACATAAATCTCAAGGCTAAAATCACTAACATCTGCATACACCAAATACGACATACAGTACATTAAATACACTCGACTTATACAATGGGTTTTGAAAATTATTCTTCTACAGCCAAGCCTGATGCCAACATTTTGTAGAGGAGTCCTGGGACCCAGATCCACAAAGCAGTTATGCATGTACAGTACTTACGAACGTGTACATCTTTCCTCAATCTTTGACAGCTTTGGTTACATTTATTAAACAGTTTACAAGCAGGAAAACTTCCCAATCCCATATTGTTATAAACAGCCTCCTGGTACTTCGGAGCTCATTAACTGTTTAATAATTGGAAACAAAGCCGCCAAAGATTGAGAAAAGATGGACTGGTTCGTAAGTGCTTGCGTAACTGCTTCGTGAATCTGCAAACTGATCTGTAAAACTGTTACTGGCAGTGGCCTGCAGGCCCACATATCCCTTCCAACCCAGCTGACCTGGCACTTTCTAGCAATCTGTCTAATGCTCACTTTTTTAACTTCAACTTATTAATGGTATTATTTTGTATACTGTAATACCATTTATATATCTATAAATAAATTTGCACTTTAACCCTCAATAGGGATAAGGTTACACATGATCACAGCCAAAGGGTTAATGAGATCATTAATATTTTGTGTTAATTTGCTGACTCTAGGCCTTCTAAGGTAATCAAGATATGGGAACACCCATTGTGTATGTTGTCATTTGTACTGGGAGGTTTTATTAGCATGTTTGTACAATTTTGTCTCATTTCAGGGTGTACGATTGTTTTGGGGTTACTGTGTCCAGTGTAGACTTTCCCTGATGTGCACGGGAACCCTTTTCTATAGAAAGCTGGACATAGCTCCGTGCACACAACCTGTAATATGTTGAAACCCCGATGGCATCTTCTCCATGCTGTCTATTATGAGCAGGAGGACTTCTGCAAGCCTACTGCAAGTTTACAACCCAGTTCATCCCTCGGGTTCCCCACCTGTGTTCCAGGTAAGCCTCTCATCTTCCACCATGGATGATTAGGTACCTTGCATACCACATTTTAGGTCACTGGACACTTCCTGCCAATTCAATTTTTTGTCTTTCTGCTGGACAGATGTAACACTTTTTGTCTTATTTGGGAGCTTCTGCTCTGAATCTTGCCTAAGGAAACAATGAGTGGGATAGCTGGGAAGCAAGGCTTTCAATGCATATGAAAAGCCCCATTTAGAACATAACATACTGTTGCAACCTTCCCCTCCCCCTTGTGTTCCTCCTTACCCTGTGTGTGCACAGATTTCACTTGTCAGTAAAAGTGTGAGGAGACTTTAGTCATATGAAGTTCATAAAACTTCAGTCATGAAGTTCATAAAACTTCCGTCATATGAAGTTCATAAAACTTCAGTCATATGAAGTTCATAAAACTTCAGTCATATGAAGTACTACCATGGATCTTTTGCCAGAGTATAAATTTGCAAATTCTACGTGGTGCAGATTAGTGTGGAGGTATAGAGAACGAGTATCTTTTTTCGAGTATCTTTAACATTATTCCTATGTTGTTCTGTTGTTTTCCTGGAGACTCTTGCCTCCCCACCCCATGAAAATGAGATACTATACCTAACCACAGAACAGCTGTGGCAACTGGATATGAGATAAGCATACATGTAAATCCTAATTGTCAAGTTATCAAATTGAAATGCTACGGGAATAAAAGCTTCCAAATCCAATAAAGGTCGCAATGAAAGCACAAGAACGTGGCTGAGAGATTTAGGGAGGCAGGTTCAATTCCATTGCACAGCCTCAATAGTTATCCAAGAAAGAATGCTACTAAAGAACTTGAAACATAAAATTTTGAAGTTATCGAAATTAATATTAACACAATCTTAACCCAACTCTAAGTAAATAATGTGCACATAAAAGCTCAACAGATTTCAAAACACCTAAATCCTAGAGCTCAACAGTTACGCAACAAAGGAGAGAGAGATCACAAACACACACACAGATTGTAAATGTCGGTACATAAGATGGTAAAGATTAACCCTGTGTATTTACGCAACAAAGGAGAGAGAGATCACAAACACACACACAGATTGTAAATGTCGGTACATAAGATGGTAAAGATTAACCCTGTGTATTTACGCAACAAAGGAGAGAGAGATCACAAACACACACACAGATTGTAAATGTCGGTACATAAGATGGTAAAGATTAACCCTGTGTATTTACGCAACAAAGGAGAGAGAGATCACAAACACACACACAGATTGTAAATGTCGGTACATAAGATGGTAAAGATTAACCCTGTGTATTTACGCAACAAAGGAGAGAGAGATCACAAACACACACACAGATTGTAAATGTCGGTACATAAGATGGTAAAGATTAACCCTGTGTATTTACGCAACAAAGGAGAGAGAGATCACAAACACACACACAGATTGTAAATGTCGGTACATAAGATGGTAAAGATTAACCCTGTGTATTTACGCAACAAAGGAGAGAGAGATCACAAACACACACACAGATTGTAAATGTCGGTACATAAGATGGTAAAGATTAACCCTGTGTATTTACGCAACAAAGGAGAGAGAGATCACAAACACACACACAGATTGTAAATGTCGGTACATAAGATGGTAAAGATTAACCCTGTGTATTTACGCAACAAAGGAGAGAGAGATCACAAACACACACACAGATTGTAAATGTCGGTACATAAGATGGTAAAGATTAACCCTGTGTATTTACGCAACAAAGGAGAGAGAGATCACAAACACACACACAGATTGTAAATGTCGGTACATAAGATGGTAAAGATTAACCCTGTGTATCTAAATTATCGCCAAGTAATCATTAATTCATCTACAATGTAAACAAATTATAGAATGAATTGATGAAGCTAGATCCAAGTGATTGCAGATGAGGAGTCACAATAACGTGGCTGAAAAATGTTGACCAAACCACGCACTAGAAAGTGAAGGGACGACGACGTTTCGGTCCGTCTTAGACCATTCTCAAGTCGATTGTGTGCAGCTCGATACACAAAATCAACTTGATAATGGTCCAAGACGGACCGAAACATCGTTGTCTCTTCACTTTCTAGTGTGTGGTCTGGTCAACATCCAAGTGATTATTTATGCTTGCTGATAGAGAACAAACAAAGATATAACTTACCATTGGTGGACCTTCGCCAGGTGGTCCCATTGGCCCCATTGGTCCCATGGGACCCATTGGCCCTCCCATTGGTCCCATAGGACCCATTGGCCCTCCCATTGGTCCCATAGGTCCTAATGGGCCCATGGGTCCTCCAGCAGGACCCCACATTGGTCCCCAAGGCCCCGGTCCTGGACCCATAGGCCCAAAGCCCGCCTGGTTGCCATCCATGGGTGGTACTTGTGCATTACCTAGACAGGAAATAAGTAAACACTAAAATGATCTTCAACAATAGATAAACTAAGTACCATAAATAATAATTTGAAAATGTTAAAACTAAATTTGCAAGTTTGTCAACATATGTAAGCGCTGTACTGTACATCGCTGATCCAACTTTGTGCAACACAGCAAGTCGAGTCACCAAGTCATCTCCCTACTAGTACAATACTGTACTGAATTGCAGGAACCAGTGACCCGGTAGAAAACCCCTATTTAATTCTCACCATCTTTCATGGAACTGTAGAAGCCTGCAACAAGTTAGGTGAGAAGAAGGCAGTGCATGCCAAAACCAACGGTAAGTCTCAAAGTGTCACATGTCAAAGTACTCGTAAAAGCGCCACATGTCAAAGTACTCGTAAAAGCTCCACATGACAAAGTACTCGTAAAAGCGCCACATGACAAAGTACTCGTAAAAGCGCCACATGACAAAGTACTCGTAAAAGCGCCACATGACAAAGTACTCGTAAAAGCGCCACATGACAAAGTACTCGTAAAAGCGCCACATGACAAAGTACTCGTAAAAGCGCCACATGACAAAGTACTCGTAAAAGCGTCACATGACAAAGTACTCGTAAAAGCGTCACATGACAAAGTACTCAGCAGAGGGCACACCACGGAGCACAGCTCTCATCCTACACTTTCTTCTTGTCACTTGGGTAATTACACTTAGGCGAATTATGCGTTGAATGGATATTTGTACAGAGGAAAGGTGAACATCACCTATAGAAAAGTAGGAGAAGATGAATCCCATCCCCCTTGCATCTACTGTACAGTACTGCTCATCTGCCACAAGGAATGTGGGGCCAATCGTGCCACATCCTTATGGCTACAGAGTTACGCCTAATGAATGTAGTGCAAAAATAATTACTGTATAGTGAGAGAGATCTGTCTCAGTATACATTAATGACAAGCTGGCAAAACATGAGACAAGGGTGACATGCAGTAGACAACATGGTCAGTGAGAGATGAGACAAGGGTGACATGCAGTAGACAACATGGGCAGAGAGAGATGAGACAAGGGTGACATGCAGTAGACAACATGGGCAGAGAGAGATGAGACAAGGGTGACATGCAGTAGACAACATGGGCAGAGAGAGATGAGACAAGGGTGACATGCCGTAGACAACATGGGCAGTGAGAGATGAGACAAGGGTGACATGCAGTAGACAACATGGGCAGTGAGAGATGAGACAGGGTGACATGCAGTAGACAACGTGGTCAGTGAGAGATGAGACAAGGGTGACATGCAGTAGACAACATGGTCAGAGAGAGATGAGACAAGGGTGACATGCTGTAGGAAACATTTTTCCACCCGGAGATGGAAAAATGCACGAGAGCGCTTTGGGAATGGAGCGGAAGCATCATCCACCCCGACGCAAGCTGGAGCGGCTCCGCCAACGCCACATGATAACAAGTGGCAGTATCTGGCATAAGACGCCGGTCCTGTAAGAGTCAAGAAAGGACAAAACAACCGGAACAGATACTGACAAAACCCTACTAAGGGAAAGGAAATGGCAGAAAGACCGCCAGGAGACTTCATACTGTCGCTGAGAGGATGACAGCAGGTGGGACACCATCAATGAAACCACCCATATAAATGGCAATATACCCGCATCAAGAGAAAACAGATGCGAAGAGCGGAAGAGTAAGTCGAACCAGAGAGATACCTCACCGGCCCGACCTGCTGTAAGAGGCAGAGCCATGGAAAAACGCTTGGGTTCAGACACCGTGCAAGCAGCACCTGAAACCAAGGCTGGGCCGGCCACCATGGGGCCAGGAGAACCACTCTCCCATGAAAGGATTCAATCCGAGCCAGAACCTGAAGCAACAGCTGGACCTAGAAATAAAGGTACAGGAACCCCCACTTCGACCAGTCCTGCCGGAAAGCGTCTACCGCGAAGGCCTCGCAGTCAGGGAATGGAGCCGGGACCAAGCCGACATGAAGAGGTCCACCTCCGGATGGCCGAACGTCCGACAAAGTCAAAGGAAGGAGGCGGTGTCGACCATCCACTCCGTGGAAAGAGGAATGAAGAGACAGGCCATTCGCCAGGACGTTGGGCATCCCCCCCCCCCCCCCCGAATGTGAACAGCACAGAGAGCTAAACCCCGAGAACTCAACAGTAGAGCCCCCCACCCCCACTCCCCAGTTGAGACAATGAACCCCAGGGGGAACAGTATGATGGAGCAGGAACATAGAGCCCCAAGGCTACCGAATCTGCCGCAGCACTTGCCACACAGCCACACACTCCCGCACCATGCTGTGAGCCCAATGAAAGGACGGAGCTCAATGCCCTTGGCCAGCCAGGTGAACACTGGTCACAAACCCCAAGCCGAGAGGCGAGGCATCTGTGAACACATCACGTGATGGAAGGAGAAGGCGTCATGGCACCGAACCCCCCAAAAAACGAAGAATAAATTGAAGACGCATCAACCGACACAAGGACCCGAGTCCAAACCCAGCGAGAGCGAGAGTGGCGAAAGGGGCTGCCCCGAAGATAACAGAACAGCCTCCAAAGCCAAACCCTACCCAAGCAGAAAAGCCAGCAAGGCAAATTTCTGGCTCCTGCACAGCTCCTCGAGCAACCACCGAGTGACCCGGACCCCATTCAAAACAGCAGACTATGAGACTGCATCCAAAGAAAAGCCACAGGAGGGAGAAAAACGAACGCAGTCTGAGAATCCCACACTAAGTCCAGCTAAGTCTGAACCAGGGATGGAACCAGATGGGACTTTACCAATTCACCAGGAATGCAAACCCAGCAAACTAGGAAAAAAGCACATCCCTGGCTTGCAGACACGCAGACCAGCTGGATGCCCATACCAACCAGTCGTCGAGGTAGCCCAGAACCCGAATACCTAGCAGATGAAGATGGGTCACCACGACCTTTGTTAAACGCATGAAAACGAGGTGGCAGATTCTGACCAAATGGAAGGCAACGAAAGCGGTAAGCCTGATGCCTGACCACAAAACCAAACCAATCCCTAAACCCCAGATGAATAGGAACGTGCCAATATGTGTCCTTGAGGTCCAGAGAAAGCATCTAAGCACCCGGCTTGAGAAGAAGCCAGACCTGGGACAACATAGTCATTCAAACGGAGGGGCAAGGAATCAAATGGTTCAGATGGGACAAGTCCAGAATGAGTCAAAGATCTGCACAGTCCCAGTTCGGAACAGGAAACACGCGAGAGACCCACTTGAGGGATGAAGTCGTTTTTGACTACGCCCAAGTAAACCCACTCCAAGATGACCCTACAGAGATGGGGAAGAAGCCTGCCCAGCCTACACTGAACCCCCGACAGGAGGAGGAGGAGGAAGAGGAGGAAGAGGAGGAAGAGGGGAGGAGGAGGAGGAGGAGGAGGAGGAGGAGGAGGAGGAAGGAGGAGGAGGAGGAGGAGGAGGAGGAGGAGGAGGAGGAGGAGGAGGAGGAGGAGGAGGAGGAGGAGGAAGGAGGAGGAGGAGGAGGAGGAGGAGGAGGAGGAAGGAGGAGGAGGAGGAAGGAGGAGGAGGAGGAAGGAGGAGGAGGAGGAGGAGGAGGAGGAGGAGGAGGAGGAGGAGGAGGAGGAGGAGGAGGAGGAGGAGGAGGAGGAGGAGGAGGGAGGAGGAGGAGGAGGAGGAGGAGGAGGGAGGAGGAGGAGGAGGAGGAGGAGGAGGAGGAAGGAGGAGGAGGAGGAGGAGGAGGAGGAGGAGGAGGAGAGGAGGAGGAGGAGGAAGACGAGGAGCCACCCAATGCCACGAAAAGCCGGAAGAGACGACACGAAAAGCCTACAAATCGTGAGACCAAGCATGGGCAAACAGAGCCAGCCTCCCTCCTATCACCCCGTAAAAGGGTCGACGTGACCTCCAAAAAGCCCTCTTCTACACAGAACGACCACCGCGCTGACCACAAGTAGAAAGCCCCGGAGGACACACTGGTTCCGAAACTGGTAACAAAGGCCCACTTCGACCTACCAAAACTCAAGCCCTGGCACGACCACCCCGGACAACATGGGGTTCGGTACAAGGTACTCCTGCCTCTCACCATTGCGGGACCTCTATGACATGGGCTTAGATGTCATGGAAGATGAGCAAAATGCCAATACACAGATTTTGCTAAAGCTTTCAACAAATGTGACCATGGTGTTATAGCACACTGAAGGAATTACTGGCAAAGTAGGGAAATGGATCTTTATCTTCCTAATTAACAAAACCCAGAGTGTAAGTCAACAAAGTAAAATTCAAATCGTCCACCATTAAGAGCTCGGTCCCCCCCAAGATACAGTGCGTGCTCTGGTACTTCTTCTCATTCTCATATCAGATATATACAAGGATACAAACTATAGTACTGATCATCCTTTGCAGTTGACACCACATTTTTCATTAAAGTAGACAATATAGAGGACGCAGCAAACCTCCAATTTAATGTTAATTAATCAGATTTTTTAATGGCCCACAGAAAATAGCATGATATTTAATAAGGTTAAGTTTAATAAGGTTAAGTTCCAGCTACTGCACTATGGGCAAAAACAAAAATATCAAAACAGAACCACATATAAAACGCAGTCAAATCACACTATTGAAAGAAAAAGCAATATAAAAGATTTCAGAGTAATCATGTTGGAAGACCTGACTTTTAAACGAACACATTAAAGTCGCTGTCACAACTGAAAGAAAAATCACAAGTTGAATAACAAGAACCTTTCAAACAAGAGATGTCAGAAAAACAACGATACTTTTGAACACACTAGTGCTCTCTAGGGTGGAATATTGCTGCACACTAACAGAACCATTCAAAGCTGGAGAAATTGCTGACCTGGAGAACATGCAAAGATCCTTCACAGGCAGTCAACTGGTAGAGAGCCAAAATAGGTCCAAAATTAAAGTGACACAAATTATCCACTGATTATATTATGTTAATAAGACCAACATCTAGTTACAAACCATTGCCAGGCGGCATATTGTCAACACTGTTGCGCCCACTTCCACCACCATCTTTCCGAGGCCGATCACGCCGACGGTCACGATCTCTGTCTCGATCTTGTCTTTCCCGATCCCGATCACGGTCTCTCTCACCATCCCTGGAGAAAATAACAATGAATGTTACTATTAAGTGTAAAAATCTGTACTTAATTATTCATATCTATGCCTACTTTATAAGAAATTTCTGTTTTGTGTAAGATGCAAGACACAGTTATGTCACAGCCAGCAGGATGGAATGCACAGGTAATCTAAGAATATCGGGCCCTGATGGCCGAGTGCACAGCGCTCGGGATTTGCAGTCCTGAGGTCCCGAGTTCGATCCCCCAGTGGAGGCGGAAACAAATGGGGGCAGAGTTTCTTTCACCCTAATGCCCCCCTGTTCACCTAGCAGTAAATAGGTACCTGCAAGTTAGACAGCTACTATGGGCTACTTCCTGGGGATGCGTAACAAAAAGGAGGACTGGTCGAGGACCGGGCCGCGGGGACACTAAGCTCCGAAATCATTTCAAGATATGGGGTATACCTGGAAAGGGTATAGCTGGGGTAGTCGGCGATATTGTCTAAATACTTTACAAGGAATGCAATCATTCATATTAAATATACAGGGCATCCTCCCAACTATGAACAGCTCACGTTACGAAAAGGTGTTCGTAAAGCTGTCGTTCAGAACGTGTAAATAGATTTCCAACATGTATAATGATTTAGTGAGGGATGCGTTCCTACACCACAAAAAAAAATCATCACAAAACCAATATTTTTGCGATGTATAAAATCAAGCATATTATTTACCTTGAACGATGGAGTTATCGGGCTAGTCAAAATCAGCTGTTTTCAAGGAGTGAAGAGTTACTGGAGAAGACAGGTGGTGACGCATGGCCAGCGGAGGTTGGCTGTCCATCTTTAATATATTTGGCTGTTTGAGATGTGAGGGATGTGTGGGTAAACATTAGTGCCATGGTGTCACTAGATGGCATAGTGCCACAGTGTCACTAGATGCCATAGTGCCACAGTGTCACTAGATGCCATAGAGCCACAGTGTCACTAGATGCCATAGTGCCACAGTGTCACTAGATGTCATAGTGCCACAGTGTCACTAGATGCCATAGTGCCAGTGTCACTAGATGCCATAGTGTCACTGTCACTAGATGCCATAGTGCCACAGTGTCACTAGATGCCATAGTGCCACAGTGTCACTAGATGCCATAGTGCCACAGTGTCACTAGATGCCATAGTGCCACAGTGTCACTAGATGCCATAGTGCCACAGTGTCACTAGATGCCATAGTGCCACAGTGTCACTAGATGCCATAGTGCCACAGTGTCACTAGATGCCATAGTGCCACAGTGTCACTAGATGCCATAGTGCCACAGTGTCACTAGATGGTGTAGTGCCACAGTGTCACTAATGCCCCAGTGTCAATAGATGCCATAGTGCCACAGTGTCACTAGATGTCATAGTGCCACAGTGTCACTAGATGCCATGTGTGAGTAAACATTAGTGCCACAGTGTCACTAGATGGCATAGTGCCACAGTGTCACTAGATGCCATAGTGCCACAGTGTCACTAGATGCCATAGTGCCACAGTGTCACTAGATGCCATAGTGCCACAGTGTCACTAGATGGTGTAGTGCCACAGTGTCACTAATGCTCCAGTGTCAATAGATGCCATAGTGCCACAGTGTCACTAGATGGTATAGTGCCAGTGTCACTAGATGGTGTAGTGCCAGTGTCACTAGATGGTGTAGTGCCAGTGTCACTAGATGGTGTAGTGCCAGTGTCACTAGATGCCATAGTGCCACAGTGTCACTTGATGCTGCAAAATTCGAAGGTATCGAGTCACTCCTTGAAAATCACTGAAGTGACTGTTAGCGAATATTATGGAGGCATTTCCTGAGCGGGAGACTGAGTTTTCTGAGTAATAAGTTCTCAAGTTACTCTGCACAACTATCTTCTATTTTCTAAGTAAAGTTACTGGTAGGGTACAATGATATTAACATACTTTCTGAGATATTTAGTCGTCTCGCAGAATCATCGTCTCACTCTTGAAATATTGAACGCATCTATCATTTTAAATGCCTCTGCCAATTTCTTGACTGTGAATTGTTTTGCTAGAGTTACCACCTCAGTCACCACCTCTGTACTGCTTCCTTTGCTGCCTCCAACTACATAAAATCTTTATTTCAGAGAGTCCTGTGAATAGGTGCCCAACCACTCTTCCACCTCAAAGTTCCTTTGCAAAGTCAACAATATTTTCAGTCAGCTCTTTCAACTGTTCCATAATACTCTGAAAATTATTCACAAATTGAAGACAAACCTTTTCCAAAAACCATTCATGTTGGTCTTTATAACTTCATCCCACGATTCTCCAATGTTCTTAAATGACTTGTAAATGTCATACCCTCTCCAGAACTCTTTGAGGCAAGAGCCTATTCCATCTACTGCACGAAGTGCCTGGCCCTCGTGCAGGTTCAAAACACGTAACAAGCTCGGAATGACGTTATCACTTTCTCTTCCAAGGGTCGCAGGAATGAGGTTGTATTTGGTAGTGAAAATACAATCATGGTATTTTTATTAAAATCATCAAGATATATGGTGTGCCCGATGCATTATCCGACACACTTAAGAATTTAAATAGATACAGTATACTGTATTTATGACAATATGACTTCACTTGAAACACAAGTGGTGTAAACTCCAGTCTTTAAATATGTAAATGTTACTCAAGCCTTGGTAGAACTCTTCAATACTGCTGACAGAGATAATTTTGACACATTCTTTAAAGCTCTGGGATTTTCTTAATGGTCCACAAGAAGAGGCTTTAGTTTACAATCACCAGCAAAATTTCCTCCAAACAACAGGGTTAAGAGTGGTCTTTTGCTGCTTTGAATCCAGGCAATGTTTGTTCTTCCTTGGATATGTATGTCAGGCATCACTTAATCAAGAGACCTCTCCAACCCTGTTTAGGTAAATATGCGAAACAGAATGCGAGACAGACTGGATCCTTCCCAATAGAAGTTTAACAGGGCCCTGAATTAGCCTGTAATGAAGGGGGGGGGTCCAGACTGGACACCATCAAAGTATGCTCCTTGGAATACAAACCAAATTCACACAACGGGACAAGTAATGGTTTTGGTGCTCACCGAGGGAGATCCAGGAAGTTGGGGCCAGATTCACGGAGCAGTTATGCAAGCACTTATGAACGTGTACTGTACATCTTTCTTCGATCTTTGACAGCTTTTGTTACATTTATTAAACAGTTAAGAAGCATGAAAACTTCCCAATCAACTGTTGTTATTGTTATAAACAGCCTCCTGGTGCTTCGGAGCTCATTGACCGTTTAATAATTGTAAACAAAGCCGCCAAAGAGTGTGAAAAGATGTACAGGTTCGTAAGTGCTTGCGTAACTGCTTCATGAATCTGGGCCCTGGTGTGTTGGCAGAGTGAGAGCTGTGTGAATCCAGTCTGTACCCCAGAGCCCTGTTTTGTTGGTGTCGGTCTCTCTCTCGACCCTCACAGGCCCACTTGTCTGTCTTGCTATCCTGTTTCACGTGTTTACCTAAACAGGGTTGGCGAGGTCTCTTGATTAAATGATAAGGGCCAGTTTCATCAGCATAAACTCTTGCTGAGCACTACAGTTTTTGTCTTCAATAATTTGATCTAATCTTGGAATGAATTCGGCTTCTTACTTCTCATCTGCATTAACACCCGACCCACTCACTCTTATAAGAGTAGGACAAATTTACGCAGCATATCTGTTAAGTCACCCATGAATTTCTTCAAATGCTTCATCACTAACAGTTGCACCTAATTTCTTCTTTAAATCATCAAAAACACTTCTTGCTTTCCCTTGTACAAGCATTGATGAACAGACAAATTGGACTTCTAAGACAATTCTGCTCCTCAGTCCGCAGTGTTAACAGCTATTTCCATATAATAAATTTAATGTGATCTTCACATTACCGTCATCAATTTCAGTGGTGCAGAGCCCTTCAAATGTTGCAAACTTCATGTTTAGTTTTTTAGGTTAGTCCTCATTGTTGAGTGGTTCATGCTGTAGGTGTTTGCAATTTGGGTTGGATTTTCACCTTCAAAGAGCACTTGAATCTCTCCCCCTTCATCTGTAACCCAAATATTCCTCCCTTCATCTGTAACCCAAACATTCTCCCTTCATCTGTAACCCAAATATCCCTCCCTTCATCTGTAACCCAAATATCCCTCCCTTCATCTGTAACCCAAACATCTCTCCCTTCATCTGTAACCCAAATATCCCTCCCTTCATCTGTAACCCAAACATCTCTCCCTTCATCTGTAGCCCAAATATCCCTCCCTTCATCTGTAACTCAAATATCCCTCCCTTCATCTGTAACCCAAACATCCCTCCCTTCATCTGTAACCCAAACATCCCTCCCTTCATCTGTAACCCAAACATCCCTCCCTTCATCTGTAACCCAAATATCCCTCCCTTCATCTGTAACCCAAACATCCCTCCCTTCATCTGTAACCCAAATATCCCTCCCTTCATCTGTAACCCAAACATCTCTCCCTTCACCTGTAACCCAAACCCTCCCTTCATCTGTAACCCAAACATCCCTCCCTTCATCTGTAACCCAAACATCCCTCCCTTCATCTGTAACCCAAACATCTCTCCCTTCACCTGTAACCCAATGTGTTGCCACTACCTTGGCATGTACATTACCACTCTTCCTCTCGCTATCAACCATTGTTAACGGAATTTTCCTTAGTAAATAGCTCCAAGTCCACAGAATACACTGCATGTCTAGCCCAGGGCACTAGAATGCTACTGAGGCAGCTTGGGTCGCCCCGATTGGGCTGTGGAAGATGATTTTGTATCGCCTTATGCCACCACATAACCGTGTGGACATTTTAGTAGCACTGCTCATAAAACTGGAGATGGCAAGCGAATTCGGATAGTGAATTGTCGAACAAATGGGGACCCGAGAAACTGTTCGGGTGAACGAGTGTTCATGTAGTAGTAGGCATTCGTATAACGGGGAGTCCTGGTACATTAAAATACGAAAGGAACACCCCATATCGTAGAGAGAATTTTGCTGCAGTAAAAACTTGCCCTTGTGTACAATACATTAGTGTTTTTCTTCATATATTTATTGGTAACCCCTGACAAAAAAAAAAAAAAAAAATACAGTAATCCATAGTTTAGAAATAGCTTCAGAATTATTTACCATAAAGGGGAATTTTCGCATGTTTTCTCACCTGTCACGTTCACGGTCCCTGTCTCTATCTCTGTCTCTGCCACGAGAGCGCTCACGGTCTCTGTCTCTGTCTCTCCCATGGTCTCTTTCTCGGTCACGGTCTCTCTCTCTGTCCCTCTCTCTTCGTTCCTCCACTATGATGGGTTCCTGGATATTATCCACAATTTCACCATTATCTGAAAGGAGTAATTACATATGTTAATATCAATGTGAATAATAAGAAACAAAAATTGTGTTATGATAAAGCCTTATTCCACGTGCTTCCTGATCCTCCTTGTCTTCCTCCACCTCTCTAAGAACTATCAGATTAACCTCACTTTCAGTCAGCATACAATAACCTGAGTCACTAGTATCTTTTTCAACCCAATCAATAACCCGTTTGTGTAAATCCTCACAGCCTCTCTGAAGATATCATGGATACTTCCATATATAAGCAAGTCCTAATAGATATTAAGATATATAAACAAGTCCTTCAAAGCAGATATAAAATCACAATTATGTGGTTGATAAAGTACAGTACGAAATAAGTTTAACCTTTTAATGTTTCCTTTCGCTTTCTTGCCGCATATATTGACCTCTTCCAGTGGTTCGATAATGGTCCGGGACGGACCAAAACGTCATCACTTCCATTATTTTCAGATGTGTGTGTTGGGTGTCTTAAGTCTCTCAAAGCTCGAGTCGTCGTCTTAACTTGACTCCAAACTTTGAGTGTACAACCTTTTTTGTGGTGCTCATTCATGGCCTGGCTGAGGACGGTGGTACCAGATGATAGTACCATACAGGTTACTATACTGGGGTGTACCACCTGTTGTGGTGCTCATTCATGGCCTGGCTGAGGACGGTGGTACCAGATGATAGTACCATACAGGTTACTATACTGGGGTGTACCACCTGTTGTGGTGCTCATTCATGACCTGGCTGAGGACGGTGGTACCGGATGATAGTACCATACAGGTTACTATACTGGGGTGTACCACCTGTTGTGGTGCTCATTCATGACCTGGCTGAGGACGGTGGTACCAGATGATAGTACCATACAGGTTACTATACTGGGGTGTACCACCTGTTGTGGTGCTCATTCATGGCCTGGCTGAGGACGGTGGTACCGGATGATAGTAGTAGTAGAAGTAGGTATCCTCAATATTGACAGCTGACTAAACTGATAGTATAGTAAGCTGTATGACAGTGCCATACAGGTTACTATACTATCAGTTAAGCTGTCAATATTGAGGCGAGCAAGGGCATTATCCGGCAAAAGCAAAGACTAAACTTCACGTAGCCTCACTCCATGCTCCTCGAATTGATGTTCTCTAATTACTGTACAAAACACATCATGAAGCCAAGATAGTACATTAGCTATGGATTTTGTAAATTATAATACTTGAGTGGCAAATTGTTCAAACAATTTTGTAAAGGTCTTGGTGTTGCAGTGTTTCCAAACAGTGCCCATGTCTGCGTACGAGCCGTCTCCACACACGCACACCGTGGCTCTTAATCTGTCTTTATTACCCTTATAGCATACAACAGCTGACCATCTAGGAGCGAAATTTTTACCAGGCAAAGTCTTCTAATACAAGCTAGTTTCTTCGGTGTAGTATATATTTGAAAATCCACAGGACTTTGGCCATGTGGTGGCCTAGTCGTTTAGAACGTGTGTCTGGGACCACCCAGCACGTAGGTTTGAGTCCTCATTACGGCTCCTGTGGATTTTCACATTGATATATTACGTTACTGTGATTTCTCTGTGTATTGGATGAGTGGCGTCAGAGGTACAATTCCTAGATGACAGAAGCCAGAGTGCATGAGGAAATTATGTGAAACTCTGGTTCGGCTTCAGAGAAATCCTCGGGAATCCTCGTGGGATCAGCAGAACCCCAGGTTGCAATTCTTTTGACCATGTGGTGGCCTAGTCGTCTAGAGTATGTGTCTGGGAATACCCAGCACATAGGTTCGAATCCTCATTACGGCTCCCGTTGACTTTCTCGTCGATATCACGTTACTGTGATTTCACTCATGTGTATATAATGTAATGGAGTTAACCTAGACCCGTGAACAAAATTATGCTATCATTTTTATCTGCTTACTATACAATGAGGTTATCATCAAGTACTGTACTGTATATACTAGTGGCCTGCGGTTATCAATTCACAATTTGGTGTATCCCACTGGTGTTTGGATCCATTTCTGAATGACAGTAACACACAGAATAGCGGCAAATGAATGGGTTGCCAGGCACTTCCTTTGAGCAGTGCCAGAAATAGATTTCCATGCAATATAGGTGTACATATTATATATACATTGTAGGCCTATGCACAGTACTCACTGTTTTTGCCAATTATGTGAAAGTATGTAATTACAAACTAATTATATAAATATAGTTATTCCACACACTGTGTAAACTAGAGTGAAACAGTGAACATATAAACCATCTAACTTGAATATTACATCCCTCTCCATTACGTGGCATGTCGGTAAACTTATGTCACCACGAGTCTACGAATTCAACGACTCCCTCTCTCCCTATGTGCATGAAACATCTCCAAAACAAGGGGGTCAACCTGTCTGCCGAACATAAAACGTGAACCTTTACCACCGAGAGAGAAACAAGAGAAACGGCCGCCCTAACACTCCTTGTGCACCTATCTATCCTATCAGCAATCCTACAAGAGCCAAGAATGATAACTTACTGGCAGCCACAGGCATGGGTGGTTTGTTTTTGTTGGTGTTAAATTCCAAGGGTGCATCATTAGTCGCTGGGTTCACTGTTACTTGCATGGGTCCCATCATACCTGGCCCCATTCCTGGTCCCATAGGGCCTGGACCCATACCCATAGGGCCTGGACCCATCATCCCTGAAATAATGGAAACTGATGAATATCATTGAACTAGTTTTGATTCATTGAAAACGTATTCATTTCTAAATTTACTTTATTCCTAAATCACGTCAATAAAAAAAATAATGAAAGTACAGTATTTCCAGTTAACCAACTACCGTAAACCTATTTTTTTAACAGTCCCCGTGGCGCAGTGATAAAACACTCGCCCGGTGCTTCGCGAGCGCTTTGGCCTGTATATATCATATTCGTATCCTGGCCGAGGAGGATTGACCGGGCACCAATCCTTAACTGTAGCCTCTGTTCAACCAGCGGTGAATGGGTATCTGGTTGTTAAACGATTTAGCGGGTATTCCAGGGAACATTTTTTCCCCCCCGAAAAAAAGGAAAGTAAGAGACTCGGGGTGTTTTTTTCAAGATGGGGATGGTTACTGGAGGTCTGAGGAAGTAAATGTAAGCCCCTTGTATGCTTGGGATTTTTTTATTCTTACGTTATTCTTACGATAATCTCCTGCTTAGCAGTAGATCCTGCCTGTTCTTTTACTGCCTACTCACCAACGTATCTGCATGCTCCAACATCAAGATTCAACATAAACAACAACAACAATATGTGCCCAAATGTATTGTCTAGACACAATGCCTCCTCCCCCCCTCCACCCTATAGTACCCAAGACGCCTGCACCTGCTGTCTCGCCAGTTGACCAGATGCCACCAGCTACCTACCTTTCTCGCTCCTTTAACTGCCAGCGTCTCTGTCTACAACTCCAGTATTTGCGTCAAATATGACGTCACGCCCCGAATATAAGGGCTTGCCAGCGTCCAGAGCGTCAAATTATCCTTTGAGTGCTCGTAGCTGTAGCATCTACTCTCGCCTCCGGGTGCTGGTAGATGCACATAGCTATTTTGTGTAAAGTATTACCCGCACCTTTGTTATTAATGTAAATTTCACATGTACAGGGGTACCTTGGTTTAAGAGTTTAATCCATTCCTGGAGACGGCTCGCAACCCGAAAAACTCGTAACCCGAAGCTAATTTCCCCATAAGAAATAATGGGAAATGAATTAATCCGTTCCAGACTACCCCAAAAACCCCACTTCAAACTAAATTTTATACCTAATTCATCTAAATAAACCTACAAAACTATGTTCAAGTTATTACTTACCCTTGCTGATGAATGCTATAGGCGTATGGAAGATGGTGAGGAGGGGGAAGAGGAGAGATGTTACTGTTTGGAAGGGGAGTCCCCTTCCATTATCACATCAGGCAGTGAGGACCTTTCTGGTGTGCACTCCCTGGCACGTTTTGCCCGAGTACCACTAGGTCCTGGTTGTGGCTCACTGCTCGATGTTCTCACAACATATCTGTCCATGGAAGCTTGTTTTTCCCTTCTGCGCAAGATGTCTCTGTAGTGAGGCATCACATTGTCATTGAAAAGATTAAGGCAACGGCCTACTACAGCTTTCTCTGGGCAAGTCTTTTCAATAAAAGTTTGAATCTCTTCCCACATCTGACACACCTTAATTTCTGTAGAAGGGACATTCGCTACTGCCTCATCCTCCTTCACTGGAGGATCATCAGCTCGGTCGTCTTGCTGTTCCTTTTGAAGGGCTTGGAGTTCTCCGGTGGTCAGTTCTTCGTTGTGTTCTTCCACCAACTCCGCCACATCATCACCATCCAATTCCAAGCCCATTTGCCGGCCCAGAGTAACAATTTCCTCAACAATAGGCGCATCATTTACAGGCTCAAACCCCTCAAAGTCTAGTTCTCTCACACATTCGGGCCACAATTTTCTCCAGCCAGAGATCAGGGTTCTTTGAGTCACTTCTTGCCAGGCTTTGTCAATGAGTTTTAAAGCACTACAAATGTTAAAATGGTGTTTCCAGAACTCTTTGAGAGTGAGGTTTGTGGCTTCAGTCACTTCAAAACATTTCCGGAAAAGTGCCCTTTCATAAAGTTTCTTAAAATTCGCTATGATTTTCTGGTCCATAGGCTGAATTAGAGGAGTGGTGTTAGGAGGAAGGAACTTTACTGTGAGAAATTTATTGTATCTGGGCAACAAATCATCTTCCAAGCCTGGAGGATGAGCAGGAGCATTGTCGAGGTGAAGCAGAGCCTTGAGTGGCAAATGTTTCTCCTGCAGATATTTTTCTATGGCAAGGCACACCACGTCATTCACCCACTCCATAAAAAAAATCCTAGTCACCCATGCCTTATTATTAGCCTTCCACATCAAATGGGTTTCCTGCACTTTATACTGTCTGAAAACCCTTGGATTTTCAGAATGATACACTAGCAAGGGTTTAATTTTCAAATCGCCACTCGCATTTGAACACAGCACAAGCGTAAACCTATCTTTCATAGGCTTGTGTCCGGGCAAGGATTTTTCCTCCTTGGTAATGTATGTCCTCTTAGGCAATCATTTCCAGAACAGTCCTGTTTCGTCACAATTAAACACCTGTTGCGGTAGGTAACCCTCAGCCTCTGTAAACTCCTTAAATTCTTCAATAAATTTCTCAGCGGCTGGTTTGTCTGAGCTGGCAGCCTCCTCATACCTCACAACACTCTGAATACCGCTTCTTTTTCTAAATTTCTCAAACCATCCCCTGCTTGCCTTAAAGTCTCTTTCTGCACTTGTTCCAGGGGTTTTCTTTACAAGGTCTTCGTGCAATACCCTGGCTTTCTCACAAATGATGGCCTCTGAAACACTATCACCCGCTAACTCCTTGTTGTGTATCCAAATTAATAACAACTTTTCCACTTCCTCAAGTATTTGTGGTCTTTGTTTCGTGATTGTTGATACTCCTTTTGCCACTTTGGCACTCATAATGTCATTTTTCTTCTCAAGTATAGTGCATATCGTTGATGTGGATTTGTTGTACTGCCTACAAAGTTCAACAACACGTGCACCATTTTCATGCTTCCGAATGATCTCTTGTTTCTCCTCTATTGTCATCCTCACATGGGCTTTCTTGGCTTGATCCTTACCACTGACTTTCTTGGGACCCATTGCGATGTATATTATAACAAATTTTATGTTCAAATAGCAAAAACTCCAAAAATAAACAGTAAATCCTTGTGAAGAATTCAGGCGGGATAGTCACTGGGATAGTTTGCACTGGCAAACTGAGCGGCGATCGCCGACCCACCACCCGCTAGGTCGGCCTGTACGCGTATCAACAAACTCATATCCTGAGGCAACCCTCGTAACCCGATGCAAATTTTCTGAGGAAATCCTGCTCGTAACCCGAAAAACTCGTAACCAGGGACGCTCGTAAGCCGAGGTACCACTGTATTTCTCTCTTCATTGTGTTTAAGCCAAGTGGTTAAGGGGTTTGGTTTTCATTAATTGTTTCTTATCATTTTATGTAAAATTAAAGTAATTTTTTGTTATATAAAATGTTTGGAGTTTTTATTTTCTTTGGCTTTACCCTCAGCTCTCACACCATAGAGGTATCAAACAGTTTTTTACTTTGTTTTCTCTTTGTTTTTATTAATGTGCGATTGGCACAAGACCTGCCAGAAGTTACAAATGTGACTATTCCAGATTCTCGTCACAATATACAGTGGCACCTCGACTTACGATAATTTTGAGTTACGATGTAAATTTCATCGAAAAATGCGACTCGACATACGATGGTGTTGTTGGCTAACGATATTTGTTGGTACACGTTCGGGTCGACCGAGCGCGTGGTTCCCGGTCACGCAGTCCGACCTGCCTCAATTTACTACAGCTGCCCGCTTAGTGATGATTGCACCTATAAGAAATTCCGAGCTTGTGGCGATTTTTTGCATTTTGAACATTAAAGTAATTATTATATATTACACCATGAGTCCCAGGAAAGTTTGAGGTAAGGCTCAACATATGAGATCCCATGTAAGAATGACCATAGAGCAGAAACAAGAGATCATTTGTAAATATGAAGATGGTGTGTGGGTTGTTGAACTGGCTAGGCAGTACATCAAATCTCAGTCAACGATATCCACCATACTGGCTAAGAAAAAGGACATTATGGGTGCTAAAGTGGTAAAAGGCATATCAATAATCATGAAACATAGAACACAAACACTTGAGGATGTTGAACAGTTATTATTAATTTGGATACACAACAGGGAGTTAGTGGGTGATAGCGTTTCGGAAATTTGCCATCATTTGTGAAAAGGCAAGAAAATTGCATGAAGACCTTTTAAAGAAAACCCCTGGAACCAGTGATGCAGAAGCGAGAGAGTTTAAGGCGAGCAGGGGATGGTTTGAGAAATTTAGAAAAAGAAGTGGAATTCATAGTGTTGTGAGGCATGGGGAGGCTGCCAGCTCAGACAAACCAGCGGCTGAAAGATTCATTGGCGAATTTAAAGATTTTGTGCAGAGTGAGGCATACCTACCACAACAAGTGTTTAATTGTGACGAGACAGGGCTATTCTGGAAAAAGATTGCCAAAGAAAACATACATTACCAAGGAGGAGAAGTCATTGCCTGGACACAAGCCTATGAAAGATCAGTTTACTCTTGTGTTGTGTGGTAATGCGAGTGGCAATTTGAAAATTAAACCCTTGCTTGTGTATCATTCCGAAAATCCAAGGGTTTTCAAAAAATATAATGTGCAGAAACACAAAATGTGTGTGATGTGGAAGGCTAGTGCTAAGGCATGAGTGACTAGGCAATTTTTTACGGAGTGGGTGAATTTGGTGGTGTGCCCTGCCATCAAAAAATATTTGCAGGAGAACAGTTTGCCACTCAAGGCCCCGCTTCTCCTCGATAATGCTCCTGCCCATCCTCCAGGCTTGGAGGATTCATTGGAGGAGGAATTTAGTTTTGTTACAATAGTTCCTTCCTCCCAACACCACTCCTCTACTTCAGCCTATGGACCAGAAAATCATTGCCAATTTTAAGAAACTTTATGAAAGGGCACTTTTCCGGAGATGTGTCGAAGTGACGGATGCCACAAACTTCACCCTCAAAGAGTTCTGGAAAAACCATTTTAACATTTATAGTGCTCTAAAACTTGTTGACAAAGCTTGGCAAGAAGTGACTGTAAGAACCATGATCTCTGGCTGGAGAAAACTGTGGCCTGAATGTGTTGCAGAACGAGACTTTGAGGGATTTGAGCCTGAACCTGAAGTACCTCTTGTTGGGGAAATTGTTTCTCTGGGCCGGCAATTGGATTTGGAGTTGGATGGTGCTGATGTGGAGGAGTTGGTGGAAGAACACAACGAAGAACTGACCACCGAAGAACTCCAAGCCCTTCAAAAGGAACAGCAAGAAGAGGCAGCTTAGGAAATTTCTTCAGGGGAGGATGTGCCAGTACAGAATGTCTCTTCCTCAACAATTAAGAAAATGTGTGCAGCATGGGAAGAATTGCAAACCTTTGCTGAAACGACTCGCCCAAATCAAGCTGCAGTAGGTCATTGCCTATTTAATGACACTGTGATGCATCATTACAGACAAATGTTAAAACGAAGGGAAAAACAAATGTCTCGACAAATTTGTAGTGGACAAACAAGCAGTGAACCACAACCAGGTCCTAGTGGTGTTCAGGCAAAACGTAGGAGAGAGAGTACCCCAGAGAAAACATCACTGCCTGATGTGATCATGGAAGGGAACTCTCCTTCCAAACAGTAACAACTCTCCTCCTCCCCCCTCATCACCATCTTCCATACACCATCAAGAGCCCTCCATAAAGGTAAGAGAAACTTATGTACTGTATTGTAGTTAGAAAAAAACATTGTATTCAGTATAAAATGTATTTGTATGTTAATATTTTGGAGGGTGGGGAACGGATTAATTAAATTCCCTTTATTTCTTATGGGAAAAATCGCTTCGACTTACGATCCGTCTCTGGGAACGGAGTACCATTGTAAGTCGAGGCCCCACTGTATTCCAGATTCTTGTCACAATATACTAACCTCATCATTTCTCGGCAGGCGCAGCACAGTGGTTAAGCTTGGCCTGTTTAACTAAGCAGCATCTAGCTTCAGTGAGAAGCACTAATGCTTTTTAACTTTCATATATTTGTAAATAATACATGTAAATAGTTTGAGTCACGTGTGACAAATTCCCCCAAGTAAACCGGTGGTTCTTTTACCATAGACTTTCTACATCCCTAGACTGATTGATTGGAGTTGTGATTTACTTGAGGCCGTGTGCAGTACCTAATAATGAAAAGTGGGAGTCTATACAACAAACGAGTCTTACGTGGGAATGTAACAAGAGTTGGTCTCCCATTCACGAACAATTCGTGTGTCAATCTTCAGTGTGATTAGAGGCTCACTGAAAATATAATCGTGCTGTATACGGTATTCAGTATTTCATTAACTTCTTTGTTGTCATACATGCCAGTTCCATCTCACGTGTGCAATACTAGATGCCAATTTTGTTCTAGACTTTGCATAGAGGAAATATTTTGGACTGCTCTCAATTTCACTGATGGCCTTTTGCTCTGTCTCTCCTGGATTTTATATGCTACTTGCATCTTTAGTTCAATCACCATTTTATCCTTCTAATTCACAGGAGCATGGAGCATTCTCTTCCTGTTAAGATTTGTCACTGGCTGTGCTGGTCTATTATGTAGGTTTCTCTGAACTTGAATTTAGTTATGATTTGAGCAACATGTACGGGTTACCAGTATGTTTCATAACAGGTCATCACTATTTGTGAAAATGAAGTCTAGGATGTTTTCTATTCCAGTTGGTTCAAGGCAAATCTCTCACAAATGCATTGAAGGTCATTTGTGATGGTTTATTTAGACTGCTTCCTGGAATTCTCTCTGATGTAACAGTATAGTATTTTACACTTTTTCAAGTTTAGGTACTGTAAATTAAAGTCACCAATCATGATGATGTTTGCGGTTGGGTTTGTCAGGTTTTTTCAATAAGTTTTTATTTTCGTTAGTTGGTCTTTAAACTGCCGAGAACTTGCATCCCATGACTTATACAGAGTTGACTTCATTCTCGACTCACAATCGGAGATTGCAGATTTTATTTCCAGGCATGACAGAAATGATTGAGCACATTTCCTTTCACTTAATGCTACTGTTGACCTAGCAGTAAATAGGTACCCCGGGAGTTGGGCAACTGTTGTGGGGTTACATCCAGGAGACGGTCAGTAATTCAACCTTGGGGGGATGGGGGGACCGCAATACAAGCCTAAAGAATATATATAGACCGACTTCTTGTCCCCGGCAAAATGAATTGATTTGTGGCATTTAGCAGCTCTGTAGAGATAAGTGTCTCTCTGATGTACAGGCTGACCCCCACCCTGTAGCCTGTGTTTCCTGTCATATCTGAAAAATGTTTACTCTTGTTGCACATTCATATTCAATCAATTCTTCCTGGTATTTACAAGCACCCCATGCATATTTATATCAACTTCCAAGTTCTGGTATGGTTCGTTTCTCTTGGCTGTACAGTACTGTAGGTGGTATGTAGCCAAGCTTGTAAAGCATAAAGTAGTATTGAAACGACTATAGGAAAAGCTCAATTTGTAAGGTAGTCTTGAAAAGATCGCTTTGTAAGGTCCCACACAGGAAGAGATTCAGCTAGCCTCAAAGAGTGTCCATCAGTCAGGAAGAGATTCAGCTAGCCTCAAAGAGTGTCCATCAGTCAGGAAGAGATTCAGGTATTCTTGAAAATATCAATGAACACCACCACCATGGAAGCCGCTAACACTGTTCATCTATGCTACTTGTATCAGATGCATCATCACTGAACGCAGAAAACGATTCATCTATATACATTAGAGATGGCAAGGGTGGGGCTCAGAGCTACACCTGGATACGCTCGCTGTATCATCCTCATAGGTGCTGTATCACTGGCATCCGACCGTTGTGTTAAGCCCTTATTGCGCCTAGCTTCACCAATGTTATGACCCTTATGTTCTTCAAACAATAGGGTCTGAATTGCACCGACTGAGCACAGTCTTTCAACACCGTGTGGGACAGGTGTTTGAGAGCCAGAGGCACGTGTGCCACAAGTGGTTGCTCACGCAGTACTAACCCAGCCAGCAACCCTTGTCTTTCATATTCGTTATAGCAAAAGGTTCGTTCAGTGTTTGTTGGGTAGACTGCTCCATTATGACAATCTTTCTTTGTTTCAAATGTGTTCCATTTGTTTTGTATTTGTCACTTACGTCTCAATAATGGAGCAGCCTACCCGACAAACACTGAACGAACCTGTATGACATTTGTCCATTTTTCAAATTGTTTCAACAGTTCTTTTATTTTTCGTTTTTTTTTTTTTTTTAAGAAACATGGAGCAGCCGACCTGTAGACCACCGAAGGAACCTTTTTGACATTTCTACTGGTTTTCATAATTCTTCATTTTTTTTATTATTTACGTTTTTTGTATGTAAGAAACATGGAGCAACCTATCTGCCGACCACCAAACGAACCTTTTGCTATAAGACAAATGAAAATCACTCTATATTAGCTCTGCCAGTAGTTATGGATGGAGATTCTATTCTGTAGCTCAGTCTCATTTTTGCTTTGATTTTGATTTGCATCCAGATCTGTGCTTGTGCACTGTTTATTCCTACCCTCTACCAATACACTGTTGTTTAGCCATTTACCCGTGTTCACATACCCGAGTGCCATTTATCTGTGTTCACATACCCGAGTGCCATTTACCCGTGTTCACATACCCGAGTGCCATTTATCTGTGTTCACATACCCGAGTGCCATTTACCCGTGTTCACATACCCGAGTGCCATTTATCTGTGTTCACATACCCGAGTGCCATTTAACTTTTATTTGCAAGACCCGAAAATTTCTGACCTTTAATAAAAAATGAGGCAAAAAAAAAAAAAAAAATGCGCGTTAATTCCACTTATGACTAACCTCCATTTGGATAGTCAGCAGGCATGACGGGGCCTCCTGGTGGTGGAGGAGGAGGTCCAGGAGGGCCTGCGGTGCCTGGTGGCGGCGGAGGTGCCATCATCCCACCCATGGCCATATTTGGTGGTCCTTGGCTGGTTGAGGGAGCAGGGCTGGGCATATTTGTACACGGTGGAGGCCCAGGGGGCATGGGTGGCATCGGAGGTGGCCCATCTGTAGAGTAAATGAAAAGTTACTAACAAATTACAGAAATATCAACAATTTATTTTAACGTTTACATTTTTTTACCCGAAATTAGCTTTTGTCGTTTATATTCTTGAGTAAGCTAATGTGTCAAACTTGCTCACTGTGCTCCAGTTGCATTACTCTCCACCAGGCTTGCTTATTCACTACATATTAACTTTACCAAAGACAATGCAATATTCATGAAGGTAGTAACTAAGGATGATTATTGGTTACTGCAACAGAACCTAAACTAGCGATGGGTATCAAAAAAATAAATGGCTGCCAGAAATCAATCGCAGCCATTGTAAGAAAAATGAAGATGGAGCGAGGAGGGGAAAGGAGACTGGAAAAGCACTACAATATATGATGGAAACAGCAACACGAATCTGAAAAAAAAAAAAAAAAATTGTGCACAGAAACACCAGCGCTAAAATGTTCGTGCCTCCCTCGTTCACATCACAATTGACATGATGACGGTCCATGACGGACAGAGACATCGTCGTCTCTTCATCTTCTGGTGTGTGATTTGGTCATCCTATCTTCAGCCACATTATTGTGACGCGTCGTCTGCACTAGCACTAACACCTGCAGTGTACCAAAACCTGGCAACCATACGAATGGCTTTAAAAACTTAAAACGAGGATTTATCCATGATTAACTCCAGAGCCTACTTCAGACCAGTTGAAAAATATACAACAAAGCATGGAATCATTACTATGTAAAGCCCATAAAAAATAGAATAGCCAAGATTTACGACAAGATTAGTGCCTAGAATATAAAAGCTAAGTTGCTATAAAGGTCACTATACACCAAGTATCAAGTGACTAGTACCATCTTATGGGCTTATGCAGGCACAGCACTATTTGCTTGGCCCAGGATTGCTGAAGTATTTTCAACTGGTTTTCACTAACCAATTTCACAGCCCCTTGTCTTTCTCAGTTGTATTGGACAAGCAGTTTGAAGCAGACACGAGTGCTACTTCCAGCCCGTCCTTCAAACAAAGACCCAAAAGTGATTCCATGCACCCGCCAAACCCCATCTGTTTATGAATGAAGAATGGTTTACACACGATTCGCAACTGATTTCGTTCAAACACTTCCGAAACAAGTGCTTCACTGATGAATTTTGTTCAAACCACAACACTGTGAATGCTTCACCCACGTACTACAAATAATCGCCAACAAAACCTAAACACCTAACCTAGCCTAACCTATGCCTATATATGCACAATATGCTAATATATTATAATATTAATTTATATTTGAGAAAATTCCCATTTTGAATGAACAGCATGTTAAAATTTATGAATGCATCTATGGGGGTCGACCGCTGGATGTAATGGACTCGAGTCGAAGACGGGTTGGCTACTTCTCATCCAAGAACAACGTGGTCACTTATGTTTCTCTTTGATTTTAATCTCCAGATGACTCCTGTCAAGTTAAGCTGCTGCTTTATCTGCGGCATTCTCCAGAGTTCTCATGTTCAGTTGTACTCCCTCCATGTCATGTGCCCGATCCACCAATCTCCTGCTCCACCCTCTACTGTACTTTGCTACCTCACTCAACCACCATGCTACTGTTCTCAATTACACAACATTCCTGTGTATTGCTCCACCTGCAGTCGTCGAGTAATGTCTTATTTATCTACGTGTGAATTTACACGTAGATAAATGAGCCCTACATAATCTCAGAAGTGCCAGGCCCAATTAACATAACTGCCATTGCTCTGTGGTGTATATGTATACTGCTCATTCACTCCATGGTGCACACACACAAATGCAAACTCAGGTGTGTGTGTGTGTGGATGTTTACAAGTTTCTACCCCTCCACTTCTCATATCCCCTAATTTCCACATGTAAAAATAAACTGATGGCAACTACTAGTGCCCACCCAACCGTAACTCCTGGGAGATGTGTTGGTCCAAAACCACCTCAGCATTTTATGAAGTGGTTATGTGTATGCTGTAAATCTGTCTTAGAATATACACAAGACTGTCACTGCTCTGTTTGTGGATCTTCCACCAAGAACAAAGATTCTATCCAGTGTAAGAAGATTCCCTTAACATCTGCTATTCGTCATGCAATGTTGTTGATAAATTTTGTTGCACACAGGTGACATATCTCGGCTAACTTAACCCTTCAACTGTGCATATTAACCAGTGTTTCATCAGTGGTGCTCACCTCAACCAGGGGTCGCTCTAGGTCTAGCATAAGATTCAAAACAAGTAAAACAGCAGGTACACGGGGCTCATATCCGCTTCCTCAGGCCGCCAGTAAACAGACTCCATCTTGGGAAAAAATTATGGATACCTCTCCTGGGTGTGAGAGCCTCAGTACTATGACTGCAATCATGTAAAATGCACCCATGCATGCAGCAGCTCACAAGCCCTCCAGATTTTATGACACTGCCGACAACCTGAGAAATACAAGCCATGGAACAGGGAACCAAAGAAACAGGATCAACCAACAAGGCATTTGATGATCCTGACCCAAAATACAGAAAAGGGACTGACCAGCCCCAATGATGACCACATGAATCTACCTGCAACACCCACAAATTGTGCCAGATGCCCCCCCCCCCTACCCCACAACAACGGTGTCAAAGGGGCAAACCTTGAAAGGACTTGCACTGGCCCTGAGTGGAACCAAACCTCTGTGAAACATAATAGCAACATTGAGTGGAGGAGGAAGCCTCCTCAGGAGGTGCAACAGCCCGGGAGCTTGACCCATCTGAGGACTTACCTTGACCTATATCTCGTGAGGTCCCCACCTGAACAGATCACCTTCAAACGGGAAAAGAACTCTTAGAAAACAACACCCGACCAGTAGGATGACATGAAAAAGCTGCCACCGAAACAACCTCTGTGACAACATTATCGGGAAAGAGGTGGCCACAAGGGTAAGAGACCAAGCTGGATCTATACAGGTAACAACACACACAGTAAATGGCCCTCACAAGACAACCAAGTCTAAGGATGACCCGACATTTAGCTTGAAACTTTGGGGCTAACCCGCGAACTGGCATGAGCAGAAGCACTACAAGCAGGTGTGAAGACACCAGCATCAGGAGCAGAACTGACTTCAAGAGCCAGCTGGGAGCCGGGGCTGGGCAGCCTGGTGGTGGTAATCGATACTAACGAGTTTTGAGCTCGAGTGAATCCTTTGTTCTGTGTAATTACATAAGTGTAAATACTGTACCTAAGTGAAGTTACAGGACGAGATAGATCTATGCTTGTGGTTTTTGTTCTTCCCTGTACTCTTTGTTATATGAATCTTTGATACTACTGATGGTTTTGGCCTCCACCACCGTCTCACTTATCCTAATCGTCTCCCACTCTGTCTGCAAAAGTGAACGTTCTAATGTTTTTTGGCAGCTTTGTTTCCTTAATTTGAACCTATATCCTCTAGTTCATAAAGTTGTCATTTACAAAAGTTCTTCTTTGTTAATTTTGTCGATTCCGTTACTATTTTGTACAAAGTGATCATTTGCCTCTTTTTTCCTTTTATCTTCTAGTTTAGGTATATTTAACACCTCTAGCCTCTCCTCATAGCTCTTGTTTCTCAATTCTGGAAGTCATTTAGTTCCATGTCTTTGCACCTTTTCCAACTCACTGATGTGCATGCTTCTTGAGTTTTAGACACCATACAACTGCACCATACACCATACTCTAGTGTGTGGTTTGGTCAACACCATACAACCACTGCATATTCCAACATTACTCTCAAAAATGTTGTCAACAACTTTTTAGATTTTATCCTAGCCAAAAGAAGCATAAATAAATTAGTATGGATACTGAACCAGCACATGGTCACAGCTCTGTAGAGTGGAACCTGAAGCAGCTTTACTTGAGTCATACTTGAGGGAATAAAAGGAGTATATCAATATGCTCCTTTTGATATGCTACTATGAACCAGTGACCACTGTATTACAGTATGTATTGTGTTTAATAACACTAAAACTGAGAATATGAAGGAAGTGCAATTACAGTATCAACAAAATCAAGTTTACTGATGAGAGAGGAGTATATGACAAAATACCACAAATGATATCCATCAAAATCCGAGTTCATCACCACAGAAACAGAACTGTGGGAAGCTCCTGGTGTGGATCAGCTCCAAATAGAAACCATTAAAACAAGCAGAGAGTAATGGAACTGGTTTGAGGATTTGGCAGAAAGCGGCAATGTGGAAGATGACTAGAAGAGCCGCGGTTAATCCACTGTGCTGTGATGGGCTGTTACTAGCTTGGCTGTGACAATGATTTGCTCAGCAAACCTTAAGGAACATTGTCTCGAGCTACAGGTAGCATTTGATTTCTTGTTGTTGGAAACAAAGTAAGAAACAACTCTAGTAACTATATGCACACAATAACTTACCTTTGCCAACCAATAACGGTGGAGGAGGAACATCTGCAAAAAATTGAGGTCGTTCGTAAGCCAGCTCGGCTACGTCTTTGAGAATGTGTTGCATACGGAGGCGAACACGGTAGCCTATGGTCTGGCTCGTGCCCTGCATTAGGGACAACGTATCTCGAAACAAATCACCATTCATGATTATCCTTCGTCTAGCTTGGCACAGTGAAACACCTTATACCTCTTTATCTCTTGTTATAATTAGCACACAAGTTCCATTTAACAAATTCTCTATACCAACTCAAAATACTCGATCACTTCTTTTTCCAAGACCAAAACTTCTTAAAAGCCTCGTTCTTCCTCGGAGCCAAAACTCAAAACAAAACTGTCTCGGCCACTTCCGGACAAAAGAACCAATGACTCCAGGTCCTTTTTTTACACAGCTATGGTACGTCTGGCCCACCGTTGACTACTGAGTTAAGCACGAGTGAGGCGCGAGGGATGACAGGCAGAGCAGCACTCCCCCCCCACCCCCACCCCCACCCAGCATGGCCTTGCGGGCAACACCCCACCACCATATCCTTCCTGTTTTACCCTGAATCATAACCTTCTCTATGACTAATGGAATTACTGTATTTCTATTTGCAAGTTGCCCAACCCATAACAATTCCTATCCAGGCGACAAGTGTTGTATAAAACACAATATATATAAATAGCATACTGTAATTCTCCAATGTATAATTTCCTTAGTTTATAATACAGTAGTTATATTGCACTATTCATTGGGACAAAACAAAATACATTTGTACATATTCTGTCAAACAAGTTCACCCCATCCTGCCATAAACAAGTTCACTCCATCCTGTCATAAACAAGTTCACCCCATCCTGCCATAAACAAGTTTACCCCATCCTGCCATAAACAAGTTTACCCCATCCTGCCATAAACAAGTTCACCCCATCCTGCCATAAACAAGTTCACTCCATCCTGTCATAAACAAGTTCACCCCATCCTGTCATAAACAAGTTCACCCCATCCTGTCATAAACAAGTTCACCCCATCCTGCCATAAACAAGTTCACCCCATCCTGTCATAAACAAGTTCACCCCATCCTGTCATAAACAAGTTCACCCCATCCTGTCATAAACAAGTTCACCTCATCCTGCCATGAACAAGTTCACCCCATCCTGTCATAAACAAGTTCACCCTATCCTAAAGTAAACAAGTTCACCCCATCCTGTCATAAACAAGTTCACCCCATCCTGCCATAAACAAGTTCACCCTATCCTAAAGTAAACAAGTTCACCCCATCCTGTCATAAACAAGTTCACCCCATCCTGTCATAAACAAGTTCACCCCATCCTGTCATAAACAAGTTCACCCCATCCTGTCATAAACAAGTTCACCCCATCCTGTCATAAACAAGTTCACCCCATCCTGTCATAAACAAGTTCACCCCATCCTGTCATAAACAAGTTCACCCTATCCTAAAGTAAACAAGTTCACCCCATCCTGTCATAAACAAGTTCACCCCATCCTGTCATAAACAAGTTCACCCTATCCTAAAGTAAACAAGTTCACCCCATCCTGCCATAAACAAGTTCACCCCATCCTGCCATAAACAGGTTCACCCCATCCTGCCATAAACAAGTTCACCCCATCCTGCCATAAACAAGTTCACCCCATCCTGCCATAAACAAGTTCACCCCATCCTGCCATAAACAAGTTCACCCTATCCTAAAGTAAACAAGTTCACCCCATCCTGTCATAAACAAGTTCACCCCATCCTGTCATAAACAAGTTCACCCCATCCTGTCATAAACAAGTTCACCCCATCCTGTCATAAACAAGTTCACCCCATCCTGTCATAAACAAGTTCACCCCATCCTGCCATAAACAAGTTCACCCCATCCTGTCATAAACAAGTTCACCCCATCCTGTCATAAACAAGTTCACCCCATCCTGTCATAAACAAGTTCACCCTATCCTAAAGTAAACAAGTTCACCCCATCCTGTCATAAACAAGTTCACCCCATCCTGTCATAAACAAGTTCACCCCATCCTGCCATAAACAAGTTCACCCTATCCTAAAGTAAACAAGTTCACCTCATCCTGCCATAAACAAGTTCCCCCCATCCTGTCATAAACAAGTTCACCCCATCCTGCCATAAACAAGTTCACCCCATCCTGTCATAAACAAGTTCACCTCATCCTGCCATAAACAAGTTCACCCCATCCTGTCATAAACAAGTTCACCCCATCCTGCCATAAACAAGTTCACCCCATCCTGTCATAAACAAGTTCACCCCATCCTGTCATAAACAAGTTCACCCCATCCTGCCATAAACAAGTTCACCCCATCCTGTCATAAACAAGTTCACCCCATCCTGTCATAAACAAGTTCACCCCATCCTGTCATAAACAAGTTCACCCCATCCTGTCATAAACAAGTTCACCCCATCCTGTCATAAACAAGTTCACCCCATCCTGCCATAAACAAGTTCACCCCATCCTGTCATAAACAAGTTCACCCCATCCTGTCATAAACAAGTTCCCCCCATCCTGCCATAAACAAACTCACCCCATCCTGCCATAAACAAACTCACCCCATCCTGCCATAAACAAACTCACCCCCATCCTGTCTGGTTGATACCTGGTTGATACCTGGTTGATACCTGGTTGATACCTGTCGCAAGATTTCAGTACATTTTACCGAGGTAAAGGTAATAATAATCACGAGAAGACAGCCCATCCTCTGAATGGACAGTACATTTTAATATTAAACGTAATAAGTACATTCCTGACTATCGGCATAGTACATAAATACACTTAATCGCCAGCATCGCACCAAAATATTGTGAATACAGTATTAGAGTTTACCTGAAAAGCTGTATAGAAAACCACGACCACAGACGACCTTGGGAGCTACGCCGGTGGTGTCCCGTCTTCCCAGTACTTTTTGTCGTACAGTATAACATTTTGAAACTACTAACAGTTTTGGCCTCCACCACCTTCTCATTTAGCTTGTTCCAACCGTCTACCACTCTGCAGAAGAAAACTGTCTCATATTTTTTTGGCATCTTTGCTGCCTTAGCTTGAATGTGTCCTCTTATTCATGAAGTTGCTGGTTTCAGGAGTTCCTCTTTGTCAATTTGGTAGATTCCTGTTAGTATTTTGTAAGTGGTGATCATATCACCTCTTTTTCTTTTATCTTCTAGTTTTGGCATGTTTAATGTCTCTTCTCTCCTCCTAACTCTTGGTTTTTAGTTCCAGAAGACATTTTGTTGCATCTTTTCCAGTTTATTTATGTGCTTCTTGAGATATGGGCACCATACAACTACTGCATATTCCAACTGTCTCACAAAAGTCATGAACAGTTCCTCGAGTATTTCACCATCCATATACATCCGGTCAGCCGAGCAGGGGAGCCGGTCGGCCGAGCGGACAGCATGCTGGAATTGTGACCCTGTTGTCCTGGGTTCGATCCCAGGCGCCGGCGAGAAACAATGGGCAGAGTTTCTTTCACCCTATGCCCCTGTTACCTAGCAGTAAATAGGTACCTGGGTGTTAGTCAGCTGTCACGGGCTGCTTCCTGGGGGTGGAGGCCTGGTCGAGGACCGGGCCGCGGGGACACTAAAGCCCCGAAATCATCTCAAGATAACCTCAAGATACAGTACAGTAATTCAAAGCAAGTCTGAAGTTGGAAAGCGACGCATATGCTCCTCTCACAATGTTCTTTATGTATTCCTCTGGTGACAGCTTACTATCCAAAACCACCTCTAGGTCTCGTTCTTTATTAGTTCTGTAATTCCTTTCCACATACAGTAATTTGTAAGTTGTGTGTGGTCTATTTTCTCTGATCCCACATTCCATTTATTCACCCTGAATTCTATTTTTGTTATGCCTTACTAGCACCAATAATAAGTAAAAAAAAAATTTGTTTGGCTTGGATACAAAACCACATTACATGCCAGCAATCATAACATAACCTCCACAGATTATAACCTGCACAATCATAATGTAACCTTTCTTATTAACAAAATAATAAAGACTTTCTTTTAACAATTGCTAAACACCGTTACCTCATTCCTAGCGCAAAACAGGCAACGGTGACTTAATTTGCAAAACAGAATAAGGAAAGATTGTACCAAAATATAGAACAAGGAAACAATGTACCCAACATTAACTACAGTACAAACTAGGCCAAGGTTACTAATAAATACTAGGCTCCAGTATACACCTAAACAAAATGCATAAAACGCTCAAAACCGCATTCAACGTATTCTCACCTGTACCACACTATAAAATTCCGTGGGGTAGCTAATCACCTTAAGATCTGTAATACTGCACTAAATACACAAGGACATGCAGGCCCCCCCCCCCCACACACACACACACACGACGCCGCCACCGCCACAGGTGTGACCCACTGAACGCCTCATTACTGGGTCAATGTTAATGAGTCAGTGTTACAAGGTGAGAGAGGCACTCCCTCGGCTCTCTTCCTCTTCCTCCATATTTGCACATCCCAAAACCTGCTTTAATCAGGATTATATATAGAACATTGTTCTTCCACGATGTGATGCGTCACACGAGAAAATAGTCTGGCTAGTCAAAAGCCCAAACTCGACTTCTATTTCGAATGCTTTAAATCAGGTGTTTCACCATTTATAGTTGGGATAGTTTACACATTTACAGTAAACTGTTTACCTAAGAGGAAGTCATATTAATAGCATAAAATGTAATGCCTATAATTATGTACCATATACTCAGGATTTAGGTTTAGAATCTCCATCTGCGGCACTCAATCGTTGCCTGAATATACAGGTATTTCAACTTAGTATAGCTGATCATATCATTCGTTTCTCTTAAACCCATATGATTGACTGTTTTGTGTATCATAGGATAACACCCAGTCCAGTGATACATCAGGAAGATAATACGTAAACACTTTATCAGACCATCACCCTCAGCCCCCCCCCCCCGCCCAACTCCCCGCTCCAAATGGATGCGAACGTAACTCCGTCGGATTGAGCATCATTGGGTCTAGCAAATACCTGGATGGGTAACTGCGAGGAGAGCCCCCACACTCAACAACGAGCACCTCAATAAGCACAGAACATTTCCCGTTCCTAACTATTAGTATACCAGTGCTCTATATAGTACCTCTATATAGTAATAACAATACTACCACACTGTACAATTATTCATAAAATATTTAAGAGATGAAGATATAAAACATCAAAATATTTACATATCGATACATAATTCTAAAATTAGTGATAAATGAACAATTCCTTAACGCCCCGTTACTACCCAGCGGTGTTTGCTCACCCAAGCACAGAAATGACCACAGAATCACTTGGTAGTTGTTTAAATAGAGTTAATAAATAATAACTCCGTTATGCAAATAAAACCTTACACAACCTCACAAGCACTCAAAAGCCCTTGTCAAAATT